ATTAGTTTTACATGGCAAAAATTCTCCAGTTTTAAAATATGTAAATAGTAAAATATTTACAGTATGTAGATCCACCATTTTTCCAGTGTTGGTGACACCATCAAAATAATGTTTTTTTCCCCAGTTTTTGTAAATTAAAACATTGAAGCAATACTGTAAGGCATTGTTTAGTTCTCTCTACCTCTGTCATAACAGTTTCTTCCCTCAACATTTACTGAAAAACTGTAATTTTTTTAGCTTTACACCCTTTTGTGCACATTTATTTTCATGCATTCGCATCCACACAGTTACTCTGCGCATTTTCCGTCTACATTAATGCACCCCCTCCACCTTCCCATCCAACCTCACATTCCTCCCTCTCCTCCTTCCCCCCCTCCCAGCTTGTCTGAGAACCAGTCCCTGGTGCGCATGCCCCCCTGGAGCAACTGCTGGCTGGTGGGCGCCATGAGCCTGTCCATGTCCCTTCACTTCATGATCATCTACGTCGACCCTCTGCCCGTGAGTCTGGCCTCCTGCACTACAACATCCATCTTCCTCCACCCCACTTCCAAACACACTTCACATGTCGCGTCTTCAAACCTCCATGTTGTATTTTTACAATTCTTACAAAGATGGAAGTTAAGGTTAAGCACAAACCAGATTAAGCTTTTTAACGAACTCTGCAAACGGTGTGACAAAATAGTCTTTTCTAGGAATGGCCAGATTGTCATAACCGGCATTTTTGGCTCATGAATTTAGTTTTATCTGCATTTACAAAGTGGTACTGAAAGGCTTTGACGGCAGAATGCACAAAGTTCACAAAACTGTATCATAGGCATAAAGATAAGAAGATAATGCCATCTATATAAAGTGCAAGCAGCAGAGGCCCCAGGATTGAGCCTTGTGAGACACCTTTTGCAATTTTAACAAATTCTGACTCTGACTTTTCCGATATACATCACTGCTGTTTTTCCTTGAGGCAACTGAAAACATTTTAGCATTAAATTCAAGGCACAATTGAGTGTACTGTGTACTTTAAAGATCAATTGCACTGTGTTTTCTATTGTTGAGTAATTATCATGAATTCATGGTCACAGTGAGAAACCACACATACAGAATAACACAGACTATTAATATTCTTTACATGCATCAAACGGGTATTTAAGTCATTTTAGCTCTAGTGTTACTAGTATCTGTGTCATAGCATATATACTGCATGTGTCTTACTTCACCACGCTGCTCCTCCTCTCATCCACAGATGATCTTCAAGCTCACTCACTTGAACGTGGAGCAGTGGATGATGGTGCTGAAGCTTTCCTTCCCAGTCATCCTTATTGATGAGCTTCTTAAGTTTGTGGCTCGCACATATCTGGAGGGTAAGTGGTTAAGAAATGCCTTTCCTTTTTTCTATCACCTTCAGTGAGTAAAACTGTTGGATACAGACAAAACAGATGTGTGCAGATATTTACAGGCAAACTTTATGAGGGAAAAAAGGACAAATATAGTACATACACTAACTGTCATCCTGAAGAGTAAATATGAAATATGAAATATCTGGCATATATCAGATTGCAAATCATTTTTAATCATTTTAAGGAATTTTTTGGGGGGGCAAATAATGTGCTTAATATAACTAGAAATCATGCAGCAACTATGTGTAGCTACAGAAATCAGGAATAGCTGAAGTAAACAGCGCTATAAACAAGAACTATTTTTAAAATGTGTGTATTTCCTTCTAGTCCCTCCCCAGATGGATTAATAATGAGAATACATGACTGAATTTTCCTATAACATTTCAATCAGTGTGTTTCCTCATTAATTAAAACAAAAACATGTTTGATAAATGGAATGTTACAGAATAATTCCCCTCCCATTTAAATGTATTTTAATGTCGTTTAACTTTTAACCTCTTTTTTCCCCCTTTTATTCTTGACACAGTTTTAATCATTTTTCAACCCTCTTTTCTAATCTCCTCCTCTGATGACTTCTAATTTTCCTCTCCTTGGATGCTCTTTTTCATGGTTCCCCCTTTCTGACATTCCAGTCTAAACCCGTTCCCCCTCCTCCATTCCCCTGTAACAAAACAAGGTATTCCCCTGACTCAAGCTAAAAGTTCTCTGCATCATGCATGCCCTTAAAAAGGTTTCTGCATTAATGTATTTGGATCCTGAATGTAGCTGCGATCAACTCAGCAGCTTCTTTTGTAAATTTCTAGTAGAAATCTGCATAATAACTGCAGCATCATACATAAGTTTGCATATTAGGTATTCTTTTGCTATAGGATACTAAATGCAACTCTATTAATCTTATTGATTTAAGTAGCTTTTAGATAATAGTAGAAGTAGTGTATTACTGGTTAGCATTTACTGCTTTGACTCTGCTTTTATTGTAATCAATGTTGTGCACGTTGCTAACACGGCAAATCAGAATATTAGTTGCTGTTGTGATAATAAAAAAACAGCCCTCTAATGTGTTTTTTGACATTGCTTGCATAAAAACTACAAATCAGTGCTTTAAATTGAGATTTTCTCTTCTAATGTCATCACAAAGTGGGAAAAAGTAGTACAGCCGTTGCAGTTTTTCCCACAATGTGACACAAGAGATGCACATAACAACATATTAAAAACAAATATACAAAGTTATCCTTAAAAGGAATAGTAAATTGGACATTTTAGGAACACACTAATAGACTTTGATGTCAAGAGTTAATTAGATGAGAAGATTAACGGCACTCGTATGCTTATTATTACAGCACAGAAAGTTGAGTCAGTGACCAGTTAGCCAAACTTAAGTGTGGCTCAATCCAGAACTAACAGAATTCACCTGGCAGCACCTGTAATGTTCTCTAATTAACATTATCATACCTTGTTTGTTTAACTTGTGCCCATTCTTAAGTACAACTGTGACTACTCGCCTTTTTATAAGAGGATATGACTCCTTCTTGCTCTTTGCAGTTGCCAGGCAACAAGCAGAGACTCAACCAAGAGAAAATTCAACATATAACCTGCCATTAAAAAAAAAACACAAAAAAAAACAGCAACTGTTGTTTCAACACTTATAATGTTTTAACTAATGGGTTTTAAAGGTGCTGGTAGGTGGAGCTTGTTTCTTCAATTTAATTCAGTTTAGTGTAAATTCACAATATAACACATCTCAAGGCACTTCACATACTAAAGTGAAGATATTAGAATATGGGGAGAAACCAAACATCATCTTGATCATGCAAACCCCTTGAAAAGGAAGAAATCTTTGACAGAACCAGGCGAAGGGAGGGCGGGATTCTGCCTCGACCAGTCAGGGTGAGGGGAAAGGAGAGACAGCTTCATGGCAAACGCAGTACACATCTTCTTAACTCTCAGCAGCAAAGCAAACTACCATATTCCTCACAACGTCCAACGATTCAGTCTAAATGCCTTCAATTTTCTTTCTTTACCCGAGAACTCACTGGCATTTGTTCTGTCCATCCAGGGAAAGTCTAGAGGCGACGTGAGGAGGCGTGGAGCGGTCGAAGCAGAGCGAAGCACTGAGACACAGAGGATGGAGAGAAAAGGCTGAACGCTCTGAGTGAGAGTGGCCAGAAGTCACTTGATCAAACCTCAAGTGCCATGAAAACAAAAGAAAACACATAAGCCATCTGAAAATACGTCAAAAAAAAAAAAAAGCTGCAAAATATTTTTTCTGTGTATGTACTGAAAATACTATATAGTGAAGAGTTATTAAAACTATTCTGTGTTGATTCTATTCTTAAAGAATAAAGATATGTAATAAAGAAAACTGACTTGTTATTTGATTTTAGCAGAGGTTTGCCACCATCTCATGGCGACTTCACCAATTTTCAACAGGCTTTCAATCCTTATAAAAACAGTTCATGTTTCCTGTACTGATGTCCGTGTTCAGTCATGTGTGAGATTTGCAGAATTTAGTTTCTTTTAGATTTTGACTTACTTTCAGTTCATACTGCAGCCGCCCTCACAGAGAACACAGCACTGTAGGCAGACTGCAAAATGTGACTGGATGTTGCACGACATCCTGGTATTTGTGCCATTTGACAGCAACTGACATACTAAAAATGTTTTCCTGGCCTAATATGTAGCGTAGCAGTATTGGAGTGTGAAACTTTACCTTTCCTATCTTGGTCTTGATGTGACGAGTGAGGAGTGGGTCAGACTGAGAACATTACACATGCCAGTACAGTTAAGGTCATTCACAAGTTCGCCACACTCTAAAACATACCTTACTTCAGCATCTACTTTATTCTAAATGGGGTCATAATTTACAAAATGAGCATTACGCTGCACTGGAGGAGACATGGCACTAATGACTGGAGCTAAAAACTTGTCTGGAAAATATTTACTGCGGCAATAAATCAAGAGAGAAATAGCATCACTTCCTCTTCTTTTTTTTGCAACAAGAGTCGCCTCCTGCTGGCCAATTATTATACAACTTATTGGGTTTCCCCTTTCCAACGATAGCGTTAAACGCAAAACATTTTTTATTTTTCTGGTCATACACTAGCAATTTAAAGTATAATTGCACCTTTCAACTAAATAGTTGTAGGACACACCTTGCTCTCCAGTCATGAAATTCTGGTTTAGTGAACATTTTGGTATGCAGCAGAATTAAAATTTGGTCAGTAATGACTGAAAAACAAAGTCTTCAGCCACAAAATGACATCACAAGTGAGTAGTACTAATATTCAACATGTTCGACAAAAACATCTCTCAAGTGTTACTAAACAAAATTAAGTCTTTGTCACATAATTTTAGATCTATTAATAAAGTCTCTCACTGTGGTTGTAGAGCTATGATTGAAATTAAATACATAGTTCTGCTCTAATTAGACTATATGAATGATGTACATTTTTTTGGACTTTGTCACATTTCCCAGGGTTTTTCAGCCTTTTACATGTGTGAGTTACATTTTAAAACTTCTGACAGCAACTATATTCAAAGACAATATATATATATATTGAAACCAACTGTATGCAGCTACAAAGGTTGAAGAAAACATGTGACAGGGTATCATGCGTTTTCCATGTGTATTGACACAAATTAGAATACCAAGACGTTACACTTTTACATTTCTTTACCGTTTTTCACTTTCCAAATCCACAATCATAAATTTGCTTACAGTTAAAAAGCCGTCATGGTTGTAGTAAGGACAGGAATGTTAATGCTTAGCTAAAATAAAAACAGAATTACTTAAAGGTGGAGAAAGCCATCCCTGAGAAAGCTTATTGATGCCTGAACTCAACAGTCAAACAACAAACACATTCCTTTACTTCAGTGCTCCTTCAGAAACTTTGTCGACAAATTCATAAAAAGTGGGTTAGCTCAAAGAAAGAGAAACACACCAGCCTTGTGTAGCGTGGAAGTGGATGTCTCTGTCTCACGGCTAAGACAACACAAACATCTTAATAGAAATCTTCATCAAATTAATGATATGTACGCACACAAACAGCATCCAAACACAACAGAGACAAAAGTGAGAACCATGGAGTTTATAGACATCAGCTTTTTCCTTGTGGAGCCAAAGCTAGCATTGACAATGACCTGCTGCTGCAATTGTTGTGCAAAGGAGCCTGGCTACTCGCTGAACCTTCCCTTTGGTAACAGGGTGAAGCAGATTGCACTGTCTCTGTGTTCTACCCTGCTAACATGTCCGCTGGTGTTACAAAAATCCTCTGAATTCACCCTGTTCTCCAGAAAACGACTATCATGTGCACGTAATCTGCCTATGTGCATCTACAAACGTCTCCTGTTGCTGGTCGGCTGGAATAGTGTTCTGCAGATGGGTCCAAACCACTTTTTTTTTTGCTTCCTGTTTACAGAACGAAACCCTCGTTTGTTTTTTGTCCAGTGCACACAGAACAGTCAGCTGGTGGACTGTGAGGAGTGTGTTAAATTAGAATGGCTTACTCCACCTTTAATATATATATATATTATATAATAAAATCACATTTGAATACTGTTAATTTAGGTGAATGTCTAGTTTGCATTACTTCATTATTGCACTGTGATCCATTGCTTTAGGTGGTCCTTCACAAAGATGCACAGAAATATGAATTACTTGAGTTAACTTGTGATGCAGTGAAAATCAAGTGTTGGACAGTTGAGTGTTCTGCTTGAGTCTGTCAGCGTTACAAACAGAATATATTCACATGTATTAGTAGAGAACAAATGTGAGAAAATGGTGAGTGTGGGAAAAAAACAGTGTCACTGACGTTTGCATGGTTCATCACAGCTCACTTTGGTCACGAAGTTTGATGAATGGACACCAAACCATCCTCTCTGAGACAATAATGAAACAACGTAATGCTTCTGTTTTTGTTTTTTTGTTTACAGTATTTCCAGTGTGACATCTCCAGTGGTCACTCTACCAGAGCATCCGTGTTTCATGTGGCCATGGTTAGTAGACCGTCCTCGGTCACTCTTGGAATGTTGAACTCTTGGTCTGTGCTTTTTGGTTCCAACGTAATTTTCCAAAACTCACGAGGCGTCCACAGGTGAGGAGCCATCTTGACTGATTCCTCCTTCCAGAATTTTCCTGACTTGTTCCAGAGTTTCCGCCTGCCGAACCAACTCCAGTTTCACCTGAAGGAGGAGGCAGGTGGCTGTACTGATTTTGTTTAGTTTCTGATGAATGTTTGCAGTGTCTGTCGTTTCTTACCTGCAGTGACTGAGAGAGCTGGACAAAGTCTCTCTGTACGGTCTGGCTGGTGTCGACCTGAGAGCGCAAGCTGATCACTTGGCTACGCAGCTCCAGACACTGTTGGTGCAAAGCTGCCTGACGGCCACAGAGATAACGGTCACATTAAATCTCATCTGTTCATTTGTACTCATGATTTATCAAGACGAATGCATTAGGGGACAGGAAGACACAGCAGGACATACACAGTAGGTGTTTGCAGCATACAGAAATTTGTTTTAGAACTTTTTTTTTTTTTTAACACAATTGGGCTTGTGGAATCAGTTTCCAATGCACAACCTCAACTTTGCAGCAACATAAAAGACATTAGCAGATGGTCGCACTGTATCACAATGTATAGTCAAAATCCGTACATGTGGACAGCAAGCACTGACTGTCAGTTCTACGTTTTCATTACTTAAAAATTGTATGATGTGAAAACTGTATTTCCTAGCTGCCATAACTGTGACAAATTAGCAGAAAAGTCAAAATAAGCAGGGTTCATGTGCAAATAATGAATTTCTAGGTAATGTCCTGGAACCAAGATGAAAAATTAAAACTCCTAATTGATAATAAAGAATCATTTATGGCTTTAAAAACAGTCTAGTGACAAGACAAGGTCCACCTAACTGGTTGTTTATCTTCCTCATTGAATAAAGAGTAAAACTTTGTATAGTTTTTTTTTTTTTTTTACAACTTATCATGATTTTGAAGTCTTTAAATATTTAGGAGTGTGATTTTGGTCAATTTAGCTCCCTTACCCTCATAGACTTCACTGGAGTAAATTTGCAGCAAATAACTACACAAGTATCAACAGTAAAACTAAGTATGTTTCTAAAAGCAAGCCGGATTTACTTTATCATTGCTGAGGCTCTTGTTGGTGGTCTGCACATGAGAGAGCGCCACCCGCAGGGCTTCCAGTTCAGTGCGGCAGGCCAGCAGCTCAGCCTGCATCTGTTCCTTTTGAGCCTGGATCCTCTCTGTCTCCACCTTCAGACTGGAAAGCTGCACTGTAGAAAGAATCACAAACGAGGCTCAGTAAAATTAGTATCACGAGACTTCTCACTGCACAGTTTAGATGGATGTTTTATTTACAAGGTTTCCCAGTTTTGGCCGTACGTTCTATCAGCTGGGACAACACTGAGGATGCAAATGTTAAATAAATCTGAATGAAATGACACCCTACACCAATCACAAGGCCTACTAATTGGCTTACCAGTCTAATAATAAACCATGAGTTGTTCACTCACCCTCTAAAACTTCTGATGACGGCAGTTTCAAGTGAGAGCAGGCAGGAAACAAGAAGGGGAGCAAAAACATCGTGTCAGCATCAAGAACGTCAACACAGAACATTCCACACATGACAGATTAATGCACAGACCCGTCTCCTCTGCCCGGGTGTCCAGCTGCTCCCTCAGGTTGACAATCTCAATGCGAAGCCGCTCCTCACAGTGCGCTCCCTGCAGGTTTGAGTTAAAAAGTGAATTTATATTGACAAATTAGGCAAGAGACACACACCTGCCAACTATAAACATGTGCAGCAGTGAAGCAGTGGCTACTGTTTCTCCAATACCAATTAAATGAAAATCCACACCTGAGACCTGACAGAAACTTCTTAAAATGCATACATGTGAGAGGTTTCAATTATTTCCACCAAAAATCTTTGCAAAAAGAAGAGGCACAAACAGTGAAGAGGAACTCCAACACAGACAAACAAGGTTTCTGTTCCCTTTACAATAATATGTAAAACTATTCTTTTCCATGTGTTGGATGTGATACAATAACGTGACATATTTCACTAAATGATTCACATTTAAATGAATTTCAAGCACTTGTGGGTGATATATACTGTAAACGAAGATCTAAAACAGCAGCTATACATGCAGTGTTGCTGATAACGACGAGCTGGAGTCTGGTACGTCCTCCTCCACCTCTTCTCCTTTCAGCCTGGACAGCTCGCTGCACATCTTCCTCTGAGACATGGACAACTCTGCCTGGACAAGAAATGCAAATTTAAACACCTCCTCCTACTGAATATACATATTATAAAATGTACACACAACTTATGGGCAGCTACTCAAACTTGCCCTGGGAGTCAAGTGACTGTTGTTGGCGTTAATCGCTGTGATGAGTCACTTTGCAGTTGAGTTGCACATTTGTGGCAAGAAATGCTGCCACTTAATTTCTGTTCTTGGCATCTTTGCTTGATTGGAATAAAACCATACATCTAGAGGATCATTTTTTCACTTTCTTGCCGAGTTAGATAAAAAGATCAACACCGCTCTTGTTACTGTGTCGTAAATGTGTAGAGCAGCAGGCTGGTTTAACACAAAGACTGGAAACGGAGGGAAACAATTTAAAGAGTTTGCATTTAACAAAACATGTAATTATTCCTTCAGGGGAAAAGAAGGATCAACATCACATCACCCACCAGTCGGCTCTGGACTGCATTCTGTGACTGGCTGAAAGATTTCTGCAAATCCTGAAGGAGGGCTTCTGAAGTCTGGACCTGAGACTGGAGCATTGATACCTGAACACACAAACATATTAACGAGTCTGTAAGCAGGTACAAAATGCACAATATGGTCGATAAGGGCAAATATCCAGAGCAGTGTTGCCCACCTGCTTGTGTGTGTGGTTGGTTTGTGTATCTAGTTCTCTCTCCAGCTCTTCTTTCTCCGCCTGCAGCCGACTCACTTCCCCTCGCAGCTCTGACACCTGCACAGCACACCACAGTTTTAATAAAATGCAAAATCTTTGGTCCATGTGGAAGCTTTTAGTTAGACCACAAGCTTAAGTAAATTAAACCTACGCCGACTGTAGTGTAAAGATGTCTTTTTACGACCGCTATACAATGCTGTAATTGTTCTTTCTTCAAAACCTACATTTCTGCAAGTGGATGAAAAGCTTCAAATCCGAACCTGAGCATTGAGTGCGTCCCAGTCGCTGTGCGTGACCAGCCGGTGTCCGGCAGGCGGCAGGTAAATGGCTTCAGGCACCAAAGTTCCTGTGGAAACCAGCGAGTCTGTGTCGTCCCCAGCGTGGAGCTTTCTGGGCAGAGACGGCGTGTCTAAGGAGAAGGAGGACAGCGAGGCCGAGTCACACTGCCGGAGGGAAAAATACCCTTCAGTCGTCAGCGCAGCCCCTTCTCCTTCTGCCGCCGCCGCCGCCTCGAGATCTGCTGGCTGTGCTGGTTGGCTGTGAATCCTGTCCGGCGATGCTGTTGCCTCGTCTTCTGTCAGGCTGTTGACGATCGATGCTGGAGACTCATTACTGGTGACTTCTGCATCCATCCTGCCTTTCCTTCCACTGACCTAAAAGGGAGAGAAAAGTAATGGTGGGATTGCGTCCGAAGCACTTGGGAACGCTTTAGGATAAAGAAACAGTTGCACACTGACCATGCTGTGTCCGCTGCCTCTCCTCCACTCCACAGGCTGAGACTGTAGAACAGCTATCCTGGCCTCATACTGTGCTGCTGTCTCTAAAACACAACAGGAGAATAACAAAATAATGATGAAACTTCTATTTCCAATCAGAAAACACATCAAATTAAAAAGTTTCCCTTCCCAGTCAGAAATACACAAAGCAAGTATTTATTAGCACAGTACAACATCACCTTCTTTTACACTAAATGTGGATTCAAAAATAAAAATACATATATATATTCTCTAGCAACTCTCTAGAGCACATTTTAAAGCCCTGGCATCTCTGTACATATCTGACCTGATTAGGGGATAAAAGCACATGTCTCTCAGGTCGTCTGAAAAAGCGTCTTACTTGCTAAATGAACACAAACCATCACTTTTAGCTGTATTTGCTGCTAAAATTACAGAAAAACTTCTTATCACAAGTTAAAACTTACTTCTGAAAACTGTCACTTATCTCTTGTTTGTATGTCAAACATGTAGAAGTACATTTTCTTCTATGTGTCTATGTTAAGGACATGGAGTGTTTCTTGAGTTTGTCCAACAATAAGATGTTCATCACCAGCCCACTCTACTACTTAGATCTATTTGCAACACCCAGGGAACAATTACATCTCCTTACAAAAAAAAAAATTCCTGTTTCATTACATAAATTTAGACCAAATGCACACAAGGACTGTCACAACCCATTCCACAACGCTGACCTCGGAGAGCCTCCTGCAGAGACTGGATCTCTTGATCACATTGTTTTTGCAGCTCTGCCAGTTCCTCCTGTTTGCTCAGCTCGCAGATCGTCGCCACGCCCTGCCAGTGCTCGACCTGAGCTCGGCACTCGGCTAGCTGGGCCTGCAGGCTGGCCTCTGAAAACGACACACAGGTTACTGTGCTTCTCCCTATTTACGTTGTTTCAAGGGTGTTTACAAGTGTTTGGTACTAAAATACAGTTGTATCCAGGGCAGGTTAGACATTTTGTTGACTATTAAAGTGAAACATAAATAGGCAAAACTCTGAAAACCAGCAGGCAACAAATAAAAATGACAAAGCAGTGTTGCTTCTTTTTTCATGATTTTAAAAATAAAAACAAAAATAAACAATAATTATGCACATGATGTCTGGGAACCCTTCAAATTCAATTCATTAACTCATTAGGCCTAAATGGACTCATTACATCTGTAATGCAGGCCAAGAACTGGGGTTAGGACGTCTCAACTAGTGACAACTCTAAGTTCTGACTTTTCAAACCTCTTAATAATAAAAGGGACTGAAGTGAACTTATGACTACAAAGCAGGGAAGGATATAAAAACACACCCAAGTGCTTTCAGTGTCCAGTTTCCCATTTCAACTGTCCCAAATATCAATAACAAACAGAAGCCAGAGGGAACTGTGGGAGTTTAGACAAGATCTGAAGACCAAGAAAACATTCAGATAAAACTGCACATCTGTTCAAAGAAAGGCAAAGCAAGCCTCCAACAAGGGCCTACAGGGAGGTTCAGCAGGCACAAGAGTGTCACTGTGCAGCGCCGTGACTCTGAAACAAGATCTATGTGGAAGAGGAAAGGAAAATTATCTGTGACCTCGGAACAAAAGTCAACGTCTCAAGTATGCAAAGCAACATCTTGATAAGCCAGAGTCACTTTGTGCTTTTAAATACTGCAGACAGTTAAAAATTATCGCTTTGGTCACAATCAGTGAAGGTCTGTTTGGAGAAAAAAGGAGCAACATCTGATGACAGCAACAATTTGCCAACTGTGGGAGGTGAAAACATTTGCTTTAGGGTTGTAGGGCAGCCAGGAGCACAGGAAACAGGGGAGAAGATAGGGAGAAGAATGGACTTCTGGATTCAAATGTCATGCAGTCAGACAAGGAACTGAAAGTAAAAAGAATCTGGTTCCTGCAACAGAAAAATTAACCAAAGCAAGTCTCCAGCATGTAACAGATTCTCCCGACTAAAATATCTGTGAAAATCTGTGGGCAGATATTCAACATGCTGCAAGACAGCCTAAAAATATCTCAGGACTTGAGGTGATCTGCAAGTGGGTGTAAATTCATAAATCAAGACAAGAAACCATCCTAGCCCACCACAAAAAGCCTTTTTTTTAAGAAGTGATATCTGTCAAACTAAGGGTTAACGACTGACTAAACAGGCTGATAAAACATGTGCATATGCCACAAGTATCGTAGATTTTTTTCTGTTCTTTTAATTCATTACAGTGTGGTAACATACGGGGGAAAAAACTACTGGAATATGTTTTCTGCAGGCATTTTAATTGCAGCATTTCACTCAAGAGATCAACAAAATAAATATTTGCCCAGGGGTTTCCAGATCCAGATCTTGCAAATGCCTGCACCTTACAGTAAGATAGGAAAAAAATCTCAGTTAATGTCACTGACTTCCATCTACATCCATCCAAGCAGGGTGCAATCTGCATTTGTTCCATCATGTTAGCCAACTAAATCCTGAAAGCGTGTTTATATCATCAATATTATTTTCAGCAGTGGCTCTGTGTCACTGTTACACAAAAATCCTTGACATGCTGTCAGTACAGCATGTTGGCCAGTTACATGATAATCAGTAATTTCAGAAACATTTTCGTGTGTAAGGTTGAGTCTGCTGATAACTACACATGCTTATTGTTATCACTTTCAGAGCACACAGCCAAATATCATGAAAAATCAAGGAGGTGATTGATATTTGGAGAACAAGTAAAGGACAACTGAACTCAAAATCCTTTCTGATTAGAGCTGGAATGATTCATCAATTCATCGATTAGTTGTCCGCTATTAGATTTATTCACAATTATTTTGATGGGCAATGAATCTGTTTGTTTGATTGATTATTTAAGAAAATATAGTCTCAATTCTCTAATAACAGCTCTTTAAATGTGCATGTTTTCTGATTTTTTAACTCCTCTGTGACAGAAAGTTTAATATTTTTGGGGTTGTGGACAAAAAAAGACATTTTAATACATCACACTCATTCTTTTAGAAACACTGATTGACATTTTACAACAATTTTTGTCGTTTTATAGACTAATAAACAAATCAGTCAATGAAGGAACTGATCAGCAGATTAACTGACAATGAAAATAACCATTAGTGCCTTATTCCTGATCCAGACTCACTCATTAGTGTCATTATCCATTCAATAAATAACTTTTTTCTTTAACTATTAACAACCCAAACCCCAAAGATATTCACTAAATAGAAGAACAACACTTCCATACGTTTGAGAACCTGAATGCTGAGAACAATTATGTATGATGGTGCCGATTAGATTTGTGTCATTTGAAATGTCAAATGTAAAGGAAAAGTGCAATTGTTATTATTACAAGTTTTTACCATTGTCACCATATTTTTGTGTGAAATTTGAAGCAAACACTTGTTACTCCAACTTTAGCTTGCAAGTTTGTAGATGTCTTCACACTCTGTGACCCAAATTTACCAGAAGACTTCTGATTCTGCCCACAAAACATGATTTTGTCTCAAAGGGCTTTAAAAGGCGAGTACTTTTACTTCAGTGCTGCACTTGGGGACACTTTTAAGGTACCTGAAGGTACATTTTATTCTACATTATACATTCTCTCTACTATATATTAGAGAAAAATGTACATTTTACACCACCACATGTGGTTACTAGAGTATTTGTAGTAACTTTATTGATATTTTTCAAGCAAAACATAAAACATATGAGCTTGTAAACTGTGATCCACAGCTAGATTGGACAATTCAACTGTATAAAATACTTAAAATTCGCCGATTACATATCTATTATCAGTAATATCTCAATAGCAGCATTCACAAGAGGACTGGTAGTACTTTTGCTGAATTAAACAGATTAAGCTAGCAGTGGCTACTTTCGCTTTTAGTAATATTGCAGCTTTATTAGCATAAATAAAAGCTCTGAGTGCTTCACTTATCACCGTTTATTGCTATTGTCCTGTGATATTTAATAAATCTCGGGTGATATCGTTTAAACTGGCAGTGAGTTGATATTTTCAGGTGGAATGACAGCTACAGAGCATTAAAAGTCACCAGAGCTCAGTTTGTACACAACTAAGTTAGCGTTCTAGTGTTAGCTAGCAGCTAGCGTCGCCCGTTCATTCCTTCGGTAACTGATGCTAACAGGCCGTTTATCTGTTACCTGACCGACGACAGGTCTCAGTGAAGAGGAGCAACAGGTTGGTGATGATAATTACGCAAAAAAAATGAGGTTGTAAAGCGGCCAGAGTCGCCTCAAACCCCAGCCCTAGCAGCTAGCTAACAGATTAAAGTTTAACGCTGCTGGGGTTTTTTTTTACCCACCTGTGTCTTCTCCGGTGGAGCTCATCTTCTCGTCCATCCAGCAGGAACAGCGGCTCACCGGCGAGGTGGCTGACAGGTAGAGAGAAAAAAACTCTACGAAAACTCAGAGGAAAAAAATGTCGAAGTCATTTCGTTCAAGCTCCGGGACTTTGGCGTGGAAGCGAGCCGCTCAGTGACAACTTCAGGAAACAACTTTCCCCGGTCCGAGCCTGCGGAAAACACGTCAACCTCCTTCCTGCGCACAGATGCCTCCCTGTTTGCTTCGACCGCTGAGCTGCTCGATCTGTTTCATGCTGCTTAATGTCACTTTTTTTTAATACCTGCTACACCCACATCCTCCCTGCAGATTACAGATCCTGATATGTCCTGGATTCAGTGACCTCTGGAGGTCACCGAGCCACAGCTTGGACCACATCTCAGGCATTCACATCGTCACAACTAAAGCATGGATACACTGGAATCCCATTAAATAATGTTTCTCATCCTACAATCAACAACCTAGTTATAGTCTATTTAAAGAAATATTCTCCTTTAACTCTACATCAGCCAAAACAAAGTAAAAAATTAACAACATTTATTATAATTTTTCATTTGCAATCAGAAAAGAAGAATAAGTAATAAATAGTCCTCAATGTTTGTTTAGATTTTATAAATATCAGTCTGATACTTGCATATAAGGAGAAAAAAAATGTGTAATTTCACTATATGCTGTATAATGACGATAAAAACTGATTCTGATAATAAAGATAAATCTGTGTTTCCACTAAATAAGGATACCCTCTGCTGGAGGAATGCCGGTATTATTGAGGAAGGGTCAGATTACATGTTGACATACCAGTAATCTGAATATTTTGCAAAAGGTATTTTAGTGCCCTTTTTATTTCACACTGCAAGTTATCTTTACAACACTTCTGTTTATGTGGAGTATTAAAGACCCATTTAGAAATAAAGGTCACATGTAGATTGATTTAACTGCATTTTATTTACTGCCTTCTTCAAGTTTTTCCATCTAAAAGCGAACAGGTGAGTGTAAAAGCAGTGTACGGAGGTATTTTCACATTCTTCCAAAGGTGAGTAGGCTGTTCAGTCTTTACCTAAATGGGTGTTTCCACTTTTTTTTTTCCTTACAGTTCTGAATAATCTCTGCACAGCTTTGTTTTACGAGGAGCTCTGCAGGAGGAGGGACGCTTTAATCAGAAATGCTGATACTGACACTCTGTCATAGATACTGCTGCACTGCTCTGGCTCTCAATGAAACTAAAATCTGCACTGAACTCATGGAAGTTTGTGGTTTTTCACACAGGTGGAGGCAGTTATCACATCCTTAACTTCAATAAAAGTACTGTGTTACAAGTAAAAGTCGTCCAATGAAAATGACATGGTATTAAAGTAAAAATATTATGAAGGAAATGCATTTAAAGAATTAAAGCTTCTGCAGAAATGTGACCTTGTGAGAGATGTACTATTATATGTCATATCATTAGAATATTATTACTCATGCATTCATGTAAAAGCTGAATTTTTAGTTTAGAACTATTTCATATAGAACTACATCTATTGATTATTTTCTCATTTAATAAACAGATTAGGTTTGGAAAACTCTGCACATAGTCAGACAAGTGCTGCATTTGTATAACCTGTTGGGTAGTTTAATTAATAACAAAACCAAAATCATACTTTTATAAGATCTTATGTTAAGTTACTGTAAAGTATCTTGTAACTAAAGCTGCCAGGTAAGTTTGTTGGGGGGGAAAAGTACAATATTGTACTCTGAAATGTAGTAGAATTATAAAGTGCAACATCACCTCATATATGTACTTAAGTAAATGTATAACTAAATGCTCGTTTATCTTTTGGCTGTATGTGTAGCATGCAGCCACTTCTCAGTAAAGTGAAAATGTGTGGCGTCTTATGACTTTTTTCATGCCAAATGATTGATAAGTTGTGTTCAGTAACTTTAACTAGCATTTAAGTTCATAAGAAAAAACACTGATTATGTTGTTTCATGCTTTAACTCCCTTCCCGTTAGTGGTAACTAGCTTTACACTGAACTAACATTTTTTTCACTTTGACAGGTGGAATAATTCACAGATGTTACACACCAAAGAATAACCTTGAAAGTAGGAAATTGCACGTTATTAGCAGCAGTGTTGCACTTCAGTCGTTTTGCACCTGCTTCCTTTGCTTCACAAAAGCACGACTACACAGGGGTTGATGGTTTCCTTTCCACAGAAGCTGCAGTGATTGTGTCCCCACCAAGCTGAAAGCCACTTGAAAACGTGATACCACAAAACTACTTTTAGCTCCATATTAAGTGAAGATCAGAGTTTGTGCAGCCAGAGTCTCTCTCACAAAAAGTCTGTGTATTTATAGATTGAATTCGACTTGGCTTTCCAGTCCTCGTCTCTCTTACTCGCCAGCCTTCGATTCTCAGCTGGAAATCTGATATCTGCAAATGAATGCGTCCTGCCTCTGCTGCATCCGTTAGACAGGGTGTGGCAGAAACAGAACTGTGGATGCAGAACACAAAGAGAAAAAGGAAGACAGGTGTGAAAAACTTGAGACATAAGATCCTCAAATTGTTACTGTATTAATGCTGTGACTCATCGATATATGAAGATAGAGACAAAGTCGTCCAAAAAGAAATTCAACACTGCGGCAAAGCATCAGATCTTTAGATATTTGCTGCAGAGGCCACATTTGAGATCTTCTCGCCCCACTGTTTGAGCAATATCTGAGAAATCTTAGATTTATGAAGCGCAAAGACACTGTCAAATGGAAACTCTGCCCATAGAGCAAAGAAGAAAAAGCCATGTATATTGAACACCGTCTTTTATTTAATCAGCTGTAATTGAAACATGGTCACAACGTAGAAAGAAAATACAAAAATTGGTCATTGATATCACTTTTAATGCAGGCTCACAATCCTCAAGAGCAGGAGTTGTGCACATAATTGGATATTCTATGTATTAGCTAACCCACAGACATTCGAGATGTGAACTGGATTTGTACAAGTACTGTATAAAATGCTGGTGAAGGTCCTCAGAAACAGTAGCTCATCTAAAGTGACTCACGCAAACCAGTGCTATATGCTGTTAAACCAAAAATACAATTTCTCTGAATATCATAAATAGTCTGGAAAGTTTTTTAAATATAAAGTGGTAAAAGCCTGAATTCATCGGAGTGGAGCAGAGGCACAGAAGACATGTATATAAATGCTTACGGCAAGTAAGTGATCAGTAACAAAAGCAGGTAGTGTGGTTTAACAGTTCATACAGAGGTAACATCATCTAGTAGTAAACCAGCTTCATCAAAGCACCACAACTCTCATGGGTTTCTATGAATATGCCATGTGCTTGTAACAAATTTATACTGTTGAGTGGTCCGAGTGACACGGCAGCTGGTGTGAAACCTATCATCTGGTCCTGCATCGCTGGAGGGATGCTTTTATGAACACGTTGCTTCACAAGTCCATGTCGTGATCGCTGACACTCTGCCGCAGATAGTCTTCATAGAGCTTTTTCTGAAGGGAAATAACAGAACGTTACAAACCAAACAGAGTATTTGTCATTTCAGAGGCGCTCACACACACACACACTACGCTACCTTTTTGGTCTTGACCACCTCCTGAACATACTCCAGCTTCTCCTGCAGCTGCCTTTTCTGTTTGCCAGACAGCGTTGGTCGAGTTCTGCAAAGAATTAAAGAGAAAGTCCTCAATGTTTAATGAGATTTGTAATTAACACGCAGTGCCTGCTGAAGTAGGAAAACTGATTGTTTCTTTTTTTTTGTCCTCTGCCAGGAGCAGGCCTGTAAATCCATAATCACATGCAGCTGCTTAACAACAAACTACTGCCAGTATCTGAAACCTAAAGCACATGGAGCAAAGGGGCATTTTACGATCCCTTTCTAAAACTAAGGTGAGATATTTTTTATGATCCCTCAGGAGGAAATGAAAACACCACAGCTGTGGTTAAAAAAAAAAAAAAAACAGCCATGGAAACATAACATTGATGCAAAAAGTAGCTAAAAATACAAAAATACAGTACAAATATAGGGTATGTAACAAACTGTACTATAGGAAGAACACATTTGGTTATAAAAAGTCCAAAAGTAGGTTAAAATATCCTCATTTAGTCCCTAAAGCCAAGGTGATGTCATAGTATCTGATCTGACTGCTTGTGGCAGCTTGTTGGTGTGAATAATTCTGAAACCAAATACATTCAATTTAAAGCAAGAATATGCTTTTTTAAATTTTGTTTTTAAATAAATGAATAAATTTCTGGTATGTAAAAGCCTTCAGCAAGTAATTTCTCATAAAGCTCTCTATATTTTGCAGTAAACCAGAGTTTGTGGTTTCTGTGGTGACAACTGTAGCAACACATTTCATGTTAAAAAAAACAATAAATTTGCCAGGGCTCAGGGGAAGAGCAATAACAGTGACAGAGACGATGAAAAGCATGAAAGAAAGAAAGAAAGAAAGAAAGAAAGAAAGAAAGAAAGAAAGAAAGAAAGAAACTCACCATTCAGAGGACAAATTTCAGATTTCAGTCCAGTCCAGTTATATGTCATTAAGTATGTGTGACTGTGTTTGTGCAACTACTCTCAATACCAAAGGAGGGAAACAAAAGTTTTGTACTGTATAACACAAGGTCAGCTAAAAAGAAGCTGAAAAGAAGCAGCAAATCCTTACAAGTGACAAGCTGGAACAATTTGGTATTTATTGCCTGAAAATTTTATTATTTAAACTGTATAGTGAATGTTTTAATGCTTTAAAAACAACATGAGTGTACTTAGGGAAATGGGTTAAGTCAGGACTAAAATATCAGAATAAACAAAAATGGTGACCTGATAACAGTATAGCAGCAGATGCACTCCCAGCAGGCTAAATGTTTTGATGGCACCAAGACTTTATCGTCCTACCTGAAGGAGAAGCGAGCGACGAGGAGCAGAAGGAAGGACAGAAGGATGAGTCCACCACAGCTGTAAAGCTGCTGCTCCACAGAGAGGGAGTCAAATACTTTCACCATGGGAGTCTGCAGAACACAAAAGCAGCCATGATTAGACTTGACCACTTTACGCAGTATGTAGACAATGCAAACAAGTACATCGCAGCAGTGAATAGTGCTTTGATGCTGACCAGGTAGAGTGAGAGAGCCTCTGTTCCCTCGCTGCCCAGAGTCATCTCCAGCAGGTCCTTGGACAGAGCGCCCAGCACCAGTATGGCCATCAGAGCCATTGGGATGCTGAACCCCAGCAGAGTCAGGAAGCAGCTCTTGCATCGTGCGCGTCGGTTCTCCATAGTGGTCTGCCTGTGAAACCAGAGGGTTCAGGGTTTATTCTACAAGGCCTCGCCGACTGATGTCCAGGTGTCGCACTAATCGGTGTGTTTGATAAAGTAATTCACAGGGGCACACTTACAGTCAAAAGCAATAGGACTCAATGAAATACTTTTTAAAAAAATGTAAAGATATGGCACTTGTTTCAGTAAATTCATCAAATTAAGTAAGTAATTGTCCTATTTCAGCATTCCTAATAATCCTTCCAGTTACACTTCAACTCCTGTTCAGTATAGTTTCATTAAAAATGGCAGTGAATACACAAATTGTGCCCAATTCTCAAAAGAGTTTACATGATTTCTTAAAAACACGAGCAGATGAGCCATATTTATATGCTCCTCCGTAACTAGTCACATAAATCTCAACAATAAATGGTCCATGTCAATGCATCTTCTGCATGGCAATAAATCTAAAACAATCAGAAGTGACAGAATGAAGCGTCACTGCTGCATGAATTAGAAAGCAAATACTTGTGTGTTACCTGTCATTATGGATAGTGTCGGTAATGGCCTCGCTGATAAGCTCACAGTCCTTCTCCAAAGAGTTCAGCGTATTCTGGACGGTTTGGTTAATAGTTCTCTCGATGGTACGACAAACCTCTTCAACCTGGTTGACACAGCGACTTGGCTGAGAGCAGAAGCAGAAAAAAATTAGAACTTAGTGAGTTTATATCATAATCTTTAAATGAATTACAACAGAAAGTATACAGAACAAATACAGGAGCAGAGTCCATAAAGTTGACAATCAGAACTAGAACTCAATGAAAAAAACAACTCTTGCCTTGTTTGGATTAGGAATGTAGATAGTGGGCATGTCAAAACCACACTTGTTGAGTCCCGGTCGTTTGCAGAGCTCCTGGACAATCTGCATCATTACTCTCTGAGACAGCCCGCCACAAAGCATAAATGAGTCAGGGGGAGACAGTAATGATGTTATTTCCTGCTTTCGAGCTTTACTAAGAGTTCGTTCAGTCATTCTCTTACTTAGGTATTCAATTTATGAAAGCAAATGTTTAAGTCTCCAAGCTTCTCCACTTCTATATATATGTAAGCCTTGTAAAGACATTTAAAGGTGGAGTATGCAATTCTAATCAAATAAACTTTGCAAATTTCTGTTCTGTGTGTGTGCACAGCCTTGGCTCTGTAAGAGGGAAACAGACAAAACCACTAGGACTGATCAGCACTATTTCAGTGTTTCCTCTGAATGTTTATGCACAGACAGGGGTAAAGGAGGCAGTGAGAGTGACAGTAAATCTTGGACATGCTAATTGAATAGTAGCAGTCCTTCTTCTGAATCGAGCTCTGACCAGATCCCTTTGGGCTTTTACTGATGGCATAGCTTAAAAACTGGTGTACAAGCAGTGCATAAGTGTAGAACCTTGTTGGCACTAAACTGTAGCAGTTGGTGACATACAGTACATCAGGACTTATTACATTACGTGTGAGCAGTGCTAAATATAGAAGTTTCATTGTCCCCAAAACCAATTTTAAAACTGGACTGTTGCTGTGTGTACCTGTCTGTCCGATTCTCCTCCGGCCTCGTCGGCCTTGCTCAGGTAAAATCGCAGCCGGTCTCCATGTTTTTCATTCAGGCTCTCCACAATGTTGAGGGTGCGCTTGCACAGAGCCTGGCCCATGGGGTCGAAGAAAACCAGAATTAGGTCGCAGAGTTCACCTGTGAATGACATTGGGAGGGACTATTATTTTCTACTTAATTTCCCATTACAAAATGTATTCTTATTTCACTGAACTGCACCACCCACCCAGCCAAAGGATAACCTCGTCCACGTCAAACGGATACTTCATGTCACCGTCCACCAAGCCAGGAGAATCGACAAATGTCACCAGGCTGAAGCGTTTCTGTCGCGATGTGCAGATCTCTGTGCTCAAGTACTCCGACACACCTGGAAATCAATCAAGAAGATGAGAGGATTGTGGAGAAAAAAAATGCTATTGTTTGATAGTGATCACCTAAAATTAAAAGACTGATTATAATAAAGTGAAACAACAACAACAAAAAAAGCAACGGAATAACTTTTACTACATAAAAATCACTGTTTATGTTTCAAGAGGCTGCTTGTAATTGAATACTTCAAGCTGTTCTATGTTACTGTATCCTCAAAAAGCTACACACAAACAAATTAAGTTGAATGAACAAAGTACAATGTATAGAGTAGGGCTGCATATCAAATATTCATCCAATCATGATTTTGGTTTCTTGCAAATAAATATCAACTACAATATTGAAGTTTAAAGTGCTGCTCATAGAAAACTCTGCTGCATATCACATCAAGCATTCCCGTAACTATGCCAGTTGTGGCTGCAGTCCAGAGAAGAGTAATACAGAACAGAGAATAGACAGACAAAATAAATAGAATAGAATAGAATAGAATAAAACTTTATTGATCCTTCGGTGTAAAATCTCATGGAAATTGAAAAATCCACATTTCTGGGAAAAAGGTGTATATTTTGCTTTTCAAACACACACTGTGTGAAGGAGCAATCTTATTTTGATGCAAAGATTTGTACAGTAGCAGGAACAACATAGAAGTGAAAGTAGGTCTCGATTTAAAAGTGAACGTACAGTCGAAATACTTTGTCCCTACAATCTATGAATAATTGTGATAAAAAAATTACAATATTAATATTGATCAAAATAATCAGGAGTATCACTTTGGCCATAATCCTGCAGCCTTAACATACAGCAAATCTCTGAGTAATATGACTGTGGTAAGTGCAAATTTCTCACCTTTAAACTCTTGCAGAGGTTTGAAATGTGGATATAGATGAAGAGTGGCATTTCCCTAAAAAGAAAAGAGAACCAGATCTGTCTGATCAGGTATTCAAGAAGCGCTGAAATCACTAGAACCCATAAATTACCATCATGAGGAATGACTCAGACGGATGGTGAGTGACTGATATTACAACTTATCAGACTTGCATTTTGAACACACCAGTTTTCTCACCTTATTTTATACATCTGTTTTTACAAAGATATGAAATGAAATGAAAGTTACACTCACCGTGAGAGATTCTCTCTTGCGTCCACTTGTAATGAAGCTGAAGCCTTGAGTCTCGATGGCCACTCCTGTGCGCTGGATGTGCTCTTCCACGTACCTGATCAAAACACAGCCACAAAAATACACTAAAATAGTAAAGTGATGCATTGAGAGAACAAAAAAACACAACACTAAAACCCCTACACCTGTGTTTAATCTGTATTGACTGACAAGTAGTCACAGCAAGATCTTTGTCACACTCATTATGGATTGCAATGATGATGTACATATAACCTACACTGTAGACTGTATATATAACTTATCTTATTTTTTTATACTTAAATCTCTTCTATCATGTGTATAGTGACAATAAAGGCATTCTATTCTATTCTATTCTAGGTAGAGTGTATTTAAAAACCACAATGGCAGGATGTAACATGCTACAGACACAAACTAAGCTGGACAGGCTCAGATTTGACGAGTTAGGCCTGTTACATCTTTTCAGTATGGTATTAGTGTTGCATACAGCTTTTATTTTGTCGTTTACATGACATTACTTAGTTTGGCAAACACTCGGGAATTTGATCTTCAAATAAAAGATTTATCCCCTGTAATCATACATTTTTTTATTATATATTTACCAGTTGATGAAGGAGCTTTTCCCAGCAGAGTGGTTGCCCATCAGCATCACAGTGATTTTTTTCCTGGGTGGCAGCAGCTTCACGCCCACAGATTCAGCCACTGTGATCAACCCTGAAGAAAACAGAGAGCACAATATAAACACGCACTGACACCTATTGTACAACAGGTGGACTGGTTTGTGTAAAATCACACATGTATCCATCAAAGAGTTAATTTTTATTTTTGTGATCAGAAATGACAGATGCAGCATTTATAAAGCACTGGATTTAGCTTCATATGCATCTATCACTACGTCTAATAATAAAGGATAAGAAAACTGATGCAAAGCAGACATTGCTGCCTACTTTTAGCTTATTGCAGTTAGGTTGGTTATTCTATTTTGATTAATTATGCATATGTATTTTATCTTTAAATTAAAGTGAGTAAACTTCATGCATTGTGCTGAAAGGCCTGCATGCATGCATCCTGGTGTCTTAATAAGCAAATTAGTGATTCATCATCCTCATGAATGCATAAACCACCCAAAAACAATAGCCTCATTTTACCCATGATCCTTGATTAATAGTAATTCAGGGCAACAATGGGGTATTATTAATATATTTGAGACTTAACACGTCATGTTTTAAGGGAATCTCATGTCTTAAAAAAGGATCTCCAAGCTTTCCTTGGTTCTTCCGTAGATCAAACTGTTTATCAAGCAGAAACTACATTTTAAATTGGAAGAACGTGATCCAGTTTGTTGAGACCCACAATTCCTTGCATCGCCTCTAGCTAAACTGTCTTCACAAGTATGGTGCAACCGACTCATTATGAACCCATAAAGTTATTGAGGCTGTCACAGAAGTGGGTCACTAATTCAACTTTCATCAACGGCAGCCAAATCACAAAATCCGCTACTAGCTAACCGAGCTAACGGTCAGGTTAGCCCCCCTACTTCTGGGATAATTTACTAGCTAAGTTAGCTAGCTAACCCCCTGTTAGCAAACGGCTTGCTATCTTAGCTTAATTATCAAACAGCTGACTGTTGGAGATATTCTGAGGCAGATTTGAGTCCTGCAAGTTCAACGCCGGCCAACTCACCGCTGTCGGGATCCGTGTACAGCTGATGACAGTCCCGCAAGATGCGCTCGTCGCAGGACACACCACCAGATATCGAGTCTGCGTTTGCGGCATTTCGGTTTTTGATTTTCCCAGACATGTTTTCTTGTCCACAGTGGTGAGATTAAAGATTTTGAAAGATTTATTCGAGCATCCAAAGTCCAAGAGTTTATGAACTAGCTGTGAACAAAGCCGGTTTGCCTGGTTTGAATCGCCCCGGTCCGCTGAAACACGGGGTTGAAACGTACCTCGGCCACGTCGTCAGCTTGGGCGGCTTTAGTCGCAAAGTCATCTGGGTAATGTAGTCAACGCAGCGTCATACAGGGACACAGGCTGTGTATATGAACTGCATTTTAGGTACAGTTTTACACATTAAAATGCTTTACTAAAAGGTAGTCGGTCTGTAAAGACAAAAATCAGATTTTCAGTAAAAAATGATTATTTAAGTTTCTCCATCACACAGTAAGAAATAAGATGATATAAAGAAAAATGTTCTTACTTAGACTATGCTGGCAACAAAAGGGAAATTTTTCAAGGGAGACTCTGCACACTGACAAAATATGAGACAATGCAGTACTTTTTATTTTTTTTACTTTCCACCACACTATGTGGAGCACAAATGTAATTGTGTCTGCAGCAGGCAGCCTGTAACACTAACAGCTATATGCACTAAGGGCTGTGCATCATCAAATCTGATGTCTCCAAACATGACCCTTTATCAGTAATGATCTATCCTTTGCATTTGACATTTGATCCAGCCTGATGACCAAATCATTTTCCCATTAGTAGCATAAAGCATTGTTAAGTATCATTTCAAATGCATAAATTGAGTGTATAATGTCAGTGTTCTCGTTATTAAAAGATAGTTTTGCACCTCTTTGTATCTTTTGCCCTTTTTTATGACTGTAGTGATAATGCAATACAGCTTGCTGCCATGGAAGAAAAGAGGCCTTCTAATTTGAGGCCACTCAGAAGTACATTACACTCAATTTAGTAAATGATTTCCAACAACATCTATTATACAATAGCCTACAGAAAGTATCTGGGTCTGCATTATGCTGGTGAAAAGATCAGCCACTGTGCATGCAGCTGAAATGCTACACAACTTAACAGTTTAAGACAAAAGCAATGATACTGCTCAGTCCAAATTAAACACATTTGGGTGGCGTTTTGCTTGCACAGGAACATGCACGATCAAATAAAAGCAGCTGTTTTGTACAAACATTTGTAGATTACTGTTTCTGATATGAACATGCAGGCTGAGTTCAGCTGATGTTAGACATGCTGCGAGAAAATGAGAACAGTACACGTGGCATAATGATGCAACTTTTATGAGGAAAACCGCTTATATCAACTCAAGCCTTCACAATGATTTACAGTTTCAAGTAATCCAGAAGGAAGCACGTTATCAGACAAAAACAAAATTAATGCAGGGTTCGTAAACAAACACCTTTGGCTTCAATTTCACATGTTAGCTTACATACAGAAAATTAAATTTGATTAGTAAATCATTATTGCTAATTAAAGTAACTACAATGATTCAGCATTTGGCTGTGCAGCATTTCAGTGAAAAAGCTCTGTCAACCTACCAGTTATTTACTTTTGCCTTTTACTAACCACAAGCCTGAAACCACTTTAGGCAGGAAAAAAAATGTAATAAAACCAGAGCTTTAGAGCCAAAGGTTGGAGGATTTTGTCACTGGAAGGTTGCCAATTTAAGTGGTACATCTGGGGAAATCTGGATGGGAAATACTCTCCCTTCCCACAACAACAAATGCTATTAGTGCTCCTACTGTAAATGCTCCAGCAGTGAAGGAAAGTAGCCTGGCTGCACTGGGAAACTTACTAGAGCTGAATGAGCTCCTAGATGGGTGTGAAGAATTATGAGATTAGGTTATATAATGGATCTATTATAGTGAGCTTTGAACAATAGAACTTACGCACACGCTGCTGCTGGGATCACACCTTAGAACAGTTTACTACATGTCAAAGAGGCAAATGTTGTGGCCTGACCAGCAATGAGAGCAAATCGGTGGGGCTTACAGGCTTTGTGGCGCCTCCTAGAAGTGTTGTGGGTTTAATTTAATGAAAGTTTTTTTTTTGTTTTTGTAAGAGTTTCCTTCTTGATAAACCCAATTACAGCCACATTCTTCTCTCTTTTTTCCATAAGTGCCTTGTGGAAGTTCACACTAATCAGAATTTATATCACATCTTATTAGATTTGTACAATCAGCCTGAAGACAAACATGCTATTTTGCAAATCATGCAGCAATTATTCCTTTTATTTAACTACTTTAAGATTGGTCGTGTGTTGTTGACTACCTTCAGATGACAGAGGCTTCTATGTGTTAATGTTTTTATCAGGAATCCTAACAGATATAAGCCCTTTCATCGCTGCCTCATTGATAAATATCCCCTGCAGTGAGATGACACCTACTGATGTGAACATTTGGAAAGGCAGGCTGTCGAGTGTGAAATGTCCTTTTGCATCCACCGTCTGTTACCGCTCGAAAACATGCTTGTCTGCTAGTTTTCGGTTCGGTCTGTGCTCAGCTTCGATGCACATCATCATACTCTTTTCACATGTAAAGATCCAAGTCACACTCCACTTTGCCTCCTTATCACACCTAAATGAATAAAGTATGTGCTATGTTCGGCAGCTCATTGTGTTTGCTCTTGCATGATCATGGTAGGTTAATGTGATCCTTGTTAACATTGAATACATTACTCTAATATGCGCAAATGGATGCAATGTGACCACACTTGTCCTGGCAGACTTGTCTTAAGCTCCTTGCAAGCAGTGAGTCAAAAGCTTTTTAATGAAACTGTACAGTTCTTCTCTTCTTTTTTTTCATGCTTTTTCCCCCCAAATAGCAGTTCTAAGACTGTTGGAAAAACAGCCGATATGCTTTCAGCCTGATAGTTTCACTCATTTCACAAGTTCTTCAATGTTGCTGCAGACTATATAGTGGAAATACAGTACATGGATCAGCCACAACATTAAAACCACTGAAAGGTAAAGTGAATAACATTGGTTATCTTTTTACAGTGTCAGCTGTCAAGCATACTAAGCAGAAAGCAAATAGGAACAATGGGAAGCATAAGGTTCTGAGCAATTTTGACAAGGGCTACATTATGATGTCAATAATACTGGGTCAGAGCATCTCCAACACAGAAGGTCCTGTGGTTTGTGGGTGCCCAAGGCTCACTGAGGAGTGTGGGGGTCAAAGGCTCGGCCATGTGGTCCCATCACGCAGAAATAACAGAAAACCTTAATGCTGGCTATGATAGAAAGGTGTCAGAACACATGATGCATTGCAGCTTGCTGTGTATGGCGCTATGTAGCCGCAGACTATGTGACATCAGAACTAGGTGATGGAGCAACGAAAGAAAGCTTCTTGGTCTGATGAATCCAGTGGAAAGTCGGAATGTGTGTGTTGTTTTGGGAAGAGATGGCAGGAGGATGCACGATGGGAGGAAGGCAAGTTGGTGAAGGCAGTGTGATGCTCTGAGTAATGTTCTGCTGGGAAACCTTGCATCCTGACAATCATGTGGATGTTACTTTGAGATGTACCACCCTCCTAAACATGGCAGCAGATCACATAGCCCCCCCTATGTCAACAGTATACCCTAACGGCAATGGCCTCTTTCAGCAGGATAATCCACTCTGCCTCAAAATTGTTCAGGAATTGTTTTAAAATGAGAGCTCAAGGTGTTTACTTGGCCTCCAAATTATCCAGAATCAGATCATCTGTGGAATGTGCAGGAAAACAATCCATGGAGGCTCAACCTCACAGCTTCCAAGACTTAAAGGATCTGCTGCTAACTCCTTGGTGCCTGATGCCACAGGACACCTTCAGTGCTCTTAGAGAATCCATGCTGGGTCAGAGAGATTTTGGAGGCATGAGGGAGACCCACACAATATCAGGCAGGTGGTTTTAATGTTGTGGCTGTTTCAGTGTATACATGAGCATTAAACTAATGAGATGCATATTATGTTTCTAATTATTTTGACTGTGATGAACATAGTGATAGGACATTCACATAAGGCATCATGCTTCATGAAGTGACGAGCACGCAGAACAGAAACCGCAATAAAGCTCTAAATATTTCCTTCAATGTTATATCAGAACAGTCTTTTGTCCTTGGTTACCAGTGGGCTTTCCTCTCTTTGGCAGCCAGCTCCAGGAAATGGGAGTGACTCGCATAGAGGGCACAAGACGAGTCAACATCAACCCATTTAACTTGTCCTGCGTCATCACCAGCTTGCAGCCGCAGCTCACTCACACTGTTGCCTACAGTAACAACAAAGACAACTCACTGGCTTAAAAAACCTTGCATCTCCATTTTTCTTTCGGTTTTTCTCAGAAAACGGTAATGAAAAATCCAAAACTATGAATAGGATAAATAAAGAGCCCATATTATGTACCTTTACATGTTCGCATTCATATGTTGGAGGGTTGACTAGAATATGTTTACATGTTTTATTGCTCAAAAAACAATTTTTTCTTCTACTCTACATCACTGCAACACCTTTTTCTCAACCTCTGGCTGAAATGCTCTGTTGTATGACTGTCTTTTCAAGACCCCCCTCCAGAAACGCCCAGTCTGCCGCATTACTCTGCTGGCCCGACAAAAGCGAGATAACGTTGATTTCACATTGTAACTCCAGATCTCTGTGTACAGGCAGAGAAATGTAGCCCTAATGGAAAAGGCTCTTGTGGAGAAAAGATGGCAGGCCATGGGGGAGCTGCTCAAATAGCCACTAGGCAGATGTTATGCAAATATGTTACATGATGACATAAATAAGTAACAGAAGAAAAGCCTGGATTTCAAAAGAGGTGCTTCAGGCAGGTAATGAGCAGTGATTCTGTGAGAGAGAATAACCCCCTTTGGTGCAGTCTTTGGGCTTTATAAGTTTGTAAGCAGACTTTTTTTTTTTTTTAATAAAAAGCAGGTTTATAGTAAATTTAAGGAAAGAGAAAATTCTAAAAAGCATAAAATGGGCTCTTTAAAATGAGAAAAAAAATCTTATTACATGTTACCTGATTCATCATGAAAGTTGACAGCAACTGTCTCCATCCAAGCATTGTCAGTGTTTCTAGGATCATCGACATAGCCTTTATAGACCTGAAGGAGAAAGATCGCAAGCTCAAGTACAAGAAAAGCCTCTATGTTCTTGAAGTCTCTTACTTTTCTCACTTGTTCACTAAAACGTGACGGTTAACAAATGAGTCCATGTTAGTTACTGACCTGAAATCCTGGTGATTTAAAGAGTTTGTTGATGCGCTCGTGAATTTTTGCTCTCTCTGCTGGCGGGACTGAAAGCGAGTTCAATGCTTCTTCTGAGAACTCTCGCTGCAGCGTGAGAGAAACCTGCTCCCCTGGATCTACCATCCCCTGCAAAACAATTATGTGAACATGGATAAAGAAGTCACAGGAGTAAGACATCCTTCACATCCCAAATCAACATACATTTATTATTGCTGTCCCTTGAATTACGGAAAATATCTTGGTAGACAAAATAAAAAGCAAGTTATAATAATACAGGGACAGTTGTACAAAATAACAGGCCACACAAATAGAAAGGAAATGTAGAAGTTACCTACCCCAGGAATGGCCCACTCCCCACAGTCTTTCCTCTTGATGGCCACAAACTGCAGAATAGGCCGTTTGGAGACAGAGTGAAGTATCTTTGCTCCTTTGGCATCAACTTTCCATCTGCATGACAGTGAAATATGTTAGGCTGTTGAGCATTTTTAAAAACTCTCCTGTTCTTTGACAATGAATCATCTTGATATTTTAAACAAACTGTGATGATTTTGTGATGTCCTGTTTTAGATGCACATCAGATTGTTAGGTACCAAAGTGTTATCAACTGAGTTTTCCTCTTTTGAATCCTTCTTTGTAAAACCAAATTAATCACTCAACAACCAAAGTGTACGGTAAAGACAAAGTTACCTCGTGACAATAGGATCTGCTGCGTGATTGGGTCCCCATCGTCCAAGCAAACCTCTCCCTGTCACCCCTGTGCGTCCATGAGGATTTCTAAGGAGCAAAATGTGTATCTGCAGACTTACATAAGAAGAATGCATTTTCCAACATGGCTTGAAGGCCTGATTGAAATACTGGTGCAAACACAAAACTATTTAATAAAGTGCACACACAAAATTGCAGACTTTACTTTTTAGAAAAAGTGCTCACAGCCCTACTCTGACTAGTCATCCTGAAGTCGGTGTGCATTAATATTAAAGCTTCATTAAGTGATGCCTTAGACATTAACCGGTAATGATGTGTTTCTGTAACATGAAAGAGCTGTGAGTGCTACAGATCCATCTGCAGCTCTGTACAGTGTAAGAATAAATCAAACTGTCAGCGTTACCAACTTAAGTAAGTCAGATGTCAGGGAAACTGGCTTAGAAATATTTCTCTTAGTTACTCCATAACTTACAGTGGCTTTCCATTTTCAATTTTGTAGGTGCCCTCAAAGCCTGTCCTGTCCACGGCGCCATCCACAGTGTTGAACTTCGGAGCAAAAACGCTGAAAAACAAGCAAAAGTCCCTAAAACTGGTATTAATTAACTCCAGTGGATTTTCTACGAGAAAAAGTACAAAAAAATCTTAAATGTCTTACAACAGCCAAGAAAATCTCTAATTCAAATCTCAGATCTGAGCAACAGCCATTACTCACATGGCCCTAATTCTATTTAGTAAGTGTAGTTAATGTATTGTTGAGTAGTTATGTGCTGCTCACCCAATCTCGGGATCTGCCCATACTGGCTTCTTTAAAACTGCAGGATCAGTATAGTTGACCGGATTATACTGCGGCCACTTCTGACTCCAGTCCACCTTGTCATCGGGCACCGAGAAGCGCTTGATTTTGGATCCTGGATACTGTGCCGACCTGGACTTCACGTGAAGTGCTGCTGCGGATGGCATCGTCCTGACACTGGTTGTGTAAAGTTTGCAGCAACTGGTACTGGTGGGGCTGATGGCTTTAGTAAATCTGAAAGGATGGGAAGGTGCGCAGGAGATTGCGGGCCTGCAGGGGAAGAAACATGAGATGTGAAAATCCAGTAAGTGTACCTTGTTCTTTCTTCCCTGCGGCAGCGTGGCCCCGGTGCCACCCTGTATGCATTCTGCTGCAAGTTGCGAGAACAATCTTCCACCTGAAGTAATAACGGCAAAAGTCATAAAGAGTCAACATATAGATCAAGGAAGGAGATATTTAACTAGTACAGTGCAATCAATACAGAACAGGATTGGAGGTACTGTTAAACTATAAAGCACAACTGTTATCTAAGTTAATGACGATTTGGTGAAGTCAGTCCTGAATTATTTATTTATTTATTTATTGTAGAAGCTTGTTTTTGCGTCATACAATGCATATATCAATATGATATTCAGCGAAAGTAAAGTTTCACTAGGATTTTGCTTAAGTTCATTAACAGCATTGGATTTAGCACGTGGTAAAGTCCACTGAGACATTATGTCAGTGATAGGCGTGTGAAGCAGACAGCTAACTATGTCTCTTTTCGATTGCAACACCAGTTTAGAAGCTAACCTCTCCTACATTGTCACATATTAACAGTTAAATCTGTGTAACTAATGCGTCTGTTCATACCTGACTCCGGAGCTGCAGACGGTAAACGGGAGTCCGAAGAGAGTCAGCGCTATACGAATCGAGCCGATCCAGTTTCGTCGCAGAAGTAAATGTACCATTCCTTGGGACAAATAAATCAATAGTAGAACAACCACAACATGCAGCACACAGTAACCAGGAAGTGCACGCGCCTGACGCAGTGACGTCTGCAAAGGGGTGTGGTTACGGCAGTCGTACTCGTTTCCATGGTGATCTGATTGTCTTAAAAATAAAATAGCACGGGGCAAGAAAGAAAGAAATGGATATAAAATGTAATTTATTGCACTGTGTTTTATATCTGTAAAATATTAAAGCATCAAAACTATAAATGTTGTGCATTTTTGTTTGTTTTTGCCGTGTTAAACGACAACACCCATCTCGTCAATATCTAGTTTGCTGCCATGCTAATCGTGAATTGTAAACAACGCATAGCCAGTGACTCTGTGCGACTGTAATGTAATAATGTGATGTATTATGTAATAATACTGATATACAGCATAGTCCATGTACATGTAAACAAAATGCCTCGCCTATGAGCACAGTGCTAACCCAACGTTACGTACACGCAGTCATTTTTATGACAACAATAGTAATACACGGGGTCGGACAACCATTAAAAATATGTCAATTTGATCAAACACTCAATTTTTCTTGTCATAATGAGCAGCATGCAACATATTTCGGCACGCCTACTCGTGGCTGCTGCATGTTTAATTTGCAGATCGCGCTCGTTTCGCTTTCATTAAGGAGCCGAACGGGCGGTGCCTCCGGTTTGAGCCGTGGCCAACTTATCCGACTCCGTCCCAACGAGCTGAACTTGTAACTAAATCTAACGCGCCTGTATTACCGTAGTTTGGCACGCGCATTTACGCTCGGCGCTGAGACCAAATCCGCGCTCGCGCACGAAATCCATTTACTCCTCAGTAGTAGAGAGGGCCCCGTCGAGTCTCTTCGCTCCGTCGATCCAACAATCCGCTCGGTTAACGCCGTGAAACAGTGCTGAGAGCGGCGGCGGTCCCTCGGTGAAACACTTTGACAGAGCCGGAGCGGTTTGGAGAGGAAGAATGGCGGATTCGAGCAGCACCGCAGCGGTCGGGGCCGCAGGCTCCAACAGCGCTGCTGCTGCTGGGGCGGCTGGCACTGTTGCGCATGAAGGAGCGCCCGGAGCTGCGGGACCGAAGCCCGGGTCCGAGTCCGTGAAGGGCCAAATTTTTGATGTGGGCCCCCGCTACACGAACCTGTCTTACATCGGGGAGGGGGCGTACGGAATGGTGTGGTGAGTAGAGCTTGTCGTCGCTATAGGGCTGCCGTAGTATAAAGCGACTGTACTAGCTAACATAAGCTGTTTGTTAGCAAACACTGTTAGCTAGCTACCCTTAGCGGTTGTATTCAACAAGGGGTTCCAGTAAATATGAGCGCAGCCACGATGTGTGTGTTTAAAACCGCTGGGCCGACATTTAGACAATGTTAAGCCTCAAGGCAGCACATCTTGTGGTTAGCAGGTTAGCCTAGTAGCTACAGGCGTGGCTACGAGCTTTAACAGGAAACAAGATTGAGAGTGATTGCGCAGGACGTAGTTTGCTATCCGATCTGAAATCCCCTGCAGGCTGCATTTTACCGCAAATGCTGGTTAGTTACTGCTGTAGTCTAATTTCCACGTCCGGCGCTAGTCTCCCAATCACACTGATCTCTTCTTGAATTGTGATAGCTAAACAATCAGTCTGCTGCAAAGCTGCTGCAGAGGATGCGATTGGGATTTGTCAGTTGTAGCGAGGCCTCTCCTCGTGTTATCGCTGTATGTGATCTCTACAGCTTTGTGTGGACGTGTTGAGCAATTCTGTTGCACTTGATATCAATGTCAAGTCGCTGCTATCGAGGTTGAACTGTGAACGCGATCAGATGGGACAACGCTGCGTGTCAGTGCGAAATGGATGGTGGCATGAGAGCTGGGATTACACATCCATTTGAGCAGGACACACCGTGTGGCTCACTGTCAGCTCCTAACGGGAGTGTGGGAGCACAGGGCTGTTTTGTTTATGTCATCGTGGTCATGTGATTGCACTGTTGCAGCATTCGGTGTTTGTAAACATTGTCAACACCCACCGGTTGGTACAGTGACAGAAATCCAAACTGCCCTTAAGTGTACGATGCACAACAGCCTCAAACCTGCGTGCTGATCATTAAACAAGTGCACAGACGTTTTAATGTGATGTGCACATTCCAGCACACCATGTCATGTTCATCATGGTTCATCACTGTGTTTCAGCCACTGAAGAAGGCGTGTGAACTTGCCCAGTTCATGCAGTGTGTTGTGCAATAAGAGAATGCGCTTTTACCAAGAGGAAAGATGTGATGTAATCATTCCTGTTGAGGGTTTGTGTCAGCGTAAAACACCAAGTTTGTATGATTTTTCTTTCTTCCCACAAAGTGCTTTGGTTGAGGGGTTTATCATTTTGACCACTACACTTACAGGGATTACTAATACGTTCAGTGCTCCCAGAAACACACCGTCCACGTCTTCTTTCAGCACGGCCTGGTCTCCGTGTACTCTACACCTCCACCACGCTGACACTGCGCCTACACTCAGATCTACACCTACAGTGCTTCACGACATATTACTGCAAAAAAAAAAAAACACACACATGCATGTTGTCAGTAGAGACATTCTGCAACGCCCTTTCGGAGTTTAGTATCGGCCCAGCGTCTGATGCTGTCATTGTCTGTGTGAATTGTGCAGTCTGTAATATGACACCTGTTCTGTGCTTCTATCCAGCTCCGCTCTGGACAACATGACAAACCAGCGCGTAGCCATCAAGAAAATCAGCCCATTTGAGCACCAGACGTACTGCCAGCGCACACTGAGGGAAATCAAGATCCTGCTGCGTTTCCACCATGAGAATATCATCGGCATCAACGACATTCTCAGGGCACGGCACATTGACAACATGAGAGATGTGTATCCTATCATGCTGTATAGGGAGGGTCTTACAGCATTTGTCTGCATTCTGCTCATGCATTTGCAAACTTAATTTAATTAGGGTTTGTTATTAAGTTCACGTTTTAATAGACCCAAGAACTTGGAACAATCATACTCATTTGTACAAATTTGACATACAGAAACAACGTAACTAAAATCAGAAAACCTAAAAAAAAAAGGAGCAGCTGTGACTTCAAAAAAGTGATCAACCTTGAGTCTCTAAGGAGGCCTGGAAGAAGTTAACTTGAAGACATTTTGCAGCACATACAATGTGTGGGTAGTATGTTAAGGCACTTCTGTGTCATTGAAGATCTTAAGGTTAAAATATGAAGTGATTCTGCACTTTGGCTGCAAGATTTGCATGTTATTTATTTAGTTTTAATGGAAGGATAATAAGAATCTCTGGAAGAGCTGAATATTTTTATTTAGTGTTATCTGCATTTAAAAGACATTTGTGCTCAAGATGTCATATTTGAAACCATCAGGAGAGTGAAGACGAGTCAGAGCCTTGGCTTATTTACTCATTTAGCCACGGTGATTTTAAAAACTTGATCTTTCCTCAGCTTTTGACAGTTGACACCATGTCACTCTTTGTCTCATATTAAGTTTCGACTTCTGACAGAGAGAACACAGCACAATTACAACATATAATGTAGTGCAGACTCCAAATCTGTGGTTTTAATCAGAAATCAAATTTTCTCACAAATCTGTGCAGCTTTTGGTGAAAAAAGATACACAAAAGGACCTGTTTTTTAAGCACTGCACTCAAAAGTGTTAAACATCTGTTCATGTGACATTCAGTGACCTGTAACAAAACTGTGTAGTGACTCATGAAGTGTCTTTAACTTCATTGCAGCAGCTTTGTTTTTTTCATTTCAAGTGTGTTTGAGAATTCTGCTGTGACCACACAACTCAAAATTATTGCACCTTTGTGTGGCACATGGTATGAATACACCAGAAAGAAAGACAAACAAGACTTATTAATTCAGCTTTTAGCCACTACATTTTGTCTGTAGAGCTTTAAGATTGATTTGACTGGGAGTTTGGTGGGATCGCTAAAGGAAAGAAAACCTGGACAAGCTTAATCTAGTCTAGGCTGTGTATGGATAAATAATCCTGTGTGTTGGTTTGAGCTGCTGGCGTAGTTAACAAGTATTCTGAATTGTGTTTCATCATGTGCAGTTTGAATAATTGCATTGCCCAGAATTGACAACGCCACGTTTATTCTTGGCTTTTGCCCAGTACAACCTTATCCAACACCTTCTAAAATGTGCCGTTTTTACTAGTTCTGATTGAGCTGCTAAATCTTTGTGAGGATTGTTGTTATCTTTCAGCCCCATTAGACAGTAGCGACTGTCCGCAGAGCAGCTAGCAGTGATGTGTAGGCACGGCCCGTCAGTCAGTGCTGCTCTGGCAGTTTCTCTGTGAAAAGCTGCATTGTCTTCAGAAAAATGGAAAGGAAATGTGTGAGTCCTTGTATTTTTTTGTCTTGCTTGATCTGCCTGGCTGCTCGCCTTTTTTTTTTTTTTTTGCACTCCGTCGTAGCTTTTTTGTGATGACTCCTTAGCAAGGCAAATATAATCAAATCCAAGGATGATATCAACATCATTTAGAGGTTGTGTTCCGTATGTAGCTCAGATAGTAAGAAGTCTGCACAGTGTGGCTGCTTAGGTTGAGGAGGCTGAGGCTACAGTTAATGCAGTGGCTTTTGGTTCACAGGGATGCTTTAAGTGGAATGCAAACAGCTAAATTGGAGTTGTGTAGCAAATTTCCTAGTAATTTATCCAATTCAACCTTATGTTGGCGCTGGAGGAAAAGTAAGAGCCATGAATGTGCGTGCAAAATGTCTTAACTGGTGTAATATTTTTTGATGAAAGTGTTCGACTGTTAGAGCAGAGAGCACGAGGATAACGTCAACTCATACGATGCTGCCAAAGACATCCGATGTTTGCTGTGTGTCAGGTGTGTTAGTGATAGAAAAAGTTCTATATATTTTAGCTGCTAGTTTCTGTAGGCCCAGTTTTTAGGGTTTTCTCATGCATCTTTTGAGGAACAAAATTATTGCAACACACTTACTGCACACAGATTACCAACCTGACTCATTTAAAGTGTTGTATCAAGTCTAGAAAAACATAACAGAGCACCATTGTGCTCATAAACTGGACCAGTTAATAAGATGATGATGTGAGACGCTGTCTTTCCAAAACAGCCAACACTTGTAATCACACCTAAACAAAGGTTGCAGTTATCGAATGCAATATGATTCTTGGCTCAGTTTTGTCTGTATTTAGCTAAATAATGCAATAGAAATGTAAGAACAGTCTTTATGTACGCTATTTCCCAGTCCTTCAGTATCAGTGGATGCTGTCGGCCTTGTCGTTGTCCACCTTGACCCACCTTGCCTCCCAGCTACATCGTGCAGACCCTGATGGAGACGGACCTGTACAAGCTGCTGAAGAGCCAGAGGCTAAGCAATGACCACGTCTGCTACTTCCTCTACCAGATCCTGCGAGGCCTCAAGTACATTCACTCTGCCAACGTGTTGCACCGTGACCTCAAGCCCTCCAACCTGCTCATCAACACCACCTGCGACCTCAAGGTTGGCCTACGCACACAGACACGTACATTCCATCATTACTGGTTACAACTGGGCTACTTTCTTTGCTTTGGCTGCAGCTTTTACCCTACATTAGAAACAATCTTGTGTTTGGGTTGTTAATTTGTTGGATTTTACACAAGATGTGCATCCTTTGTACAGAATATATAGAGCATCTCCAAGTCACAACACCCATTTATATGCTGTAGCCTTAATGTAGATGTACACGTTTCCTGTGATATGGGAGCAAGCACAGGTCATGTTTTGAACATAAATGAAAAAAAGATCCTTTTAGGCTCAGGCATGTTCCATTTAAGTTGAATGTTTTGAAAATTTTCTGAAATAGAACCATTGTGTTTATTTAAACTTCAGCACTAGTGGAAAATGACACCAGCTCTCAACAATTACAAGAATTCTGGATGGCTCTGCAAAAAAACCCAACTTGTTCGGTGCAGATGCATTGAGCCTGAGAATATACACCCCGAATCAAAGTATGTATTTGCAGATATTTTACACTAAATGTCCCACAGATGGATGAAGTGCATTAAAAACTGTTTCCTTGATCGCACTTCTAGAGTCCTAGCCAAACATAAAGTGGCCAAAAGTGAAATATCCCTGGAGTCCACAGTGTCATATTATTAATAACTAATAGAAAATAAACAATAATCATTAATCATAGTTTTCTATAATTGAGAAAATGTACCTGAAGACTAGTAAGCTCAATGTAAATGGTGCATGCAGATTGCTGGTTATTGTTGAGAGGCATCCTGCGATACGCAGGAAATCACAAGTAGAAATCGTCCACTGCACACAAGTGTACTCTCAAGGAGCAATCAAGAAGTTATCAGCCTGCACCTATTAAAAAAAAAAAAAAAAAAAAAAAAAAAAAAAAAAAAAACCTGATTTAAAATTGGCCACTGTCCTCCTCCAAGTAGCCTCCTTGTGCAGCGATACATCGCTACCAGCGCCCCTGCCACGCTTGGAACGCTCCCTGGAAGTCCCATCCTGTTAGCATGTGAAGCACCATCTGTGAGGCGTGCTCGAGCTCCTCCACTGTGTCAAAGCGGCGACTCTTCGACTTGAATTTCCTTTCTGTTAAGAAGAATAAGTCGCAGGGAGCTAAATCTTGCAAGTAGCACGAGTAAGGACCAGCAGTTTGGTGTTGTGGCCAAAAAACACGTACATTTTCAACATGCTGTGAGCAGACATACAGTGCACCCAAATGTCGTCACGTCACAGTTCAGGCTGTTTGCACCAAATGTTCTCCTTCGGACGCCTCAGGACTTTACAGTAGAACAGTTGACAGTCTCACCACGGAGCAGTAAATCACGGTGCAGAACACCAGAAGAGACAAGCATGTTCTTGGTCACGCACCTGACCTGATGCGCCTTCTTCCATCTTGGAGACTGCGGCTCTTGCACTGAAGCCTGCTGGTCTCTGGATCGTAGCCATATATCACCAGTGATGATCCTCAACGTTAGGGCTGAATCATTCTGGAGTGTTTGCTCTTTGTTTAAGTTTAAAGTCGACAGGAAAATCGCAAATGTGCACCTGCCAGTGGCCACAAAATGCATGTACCACATGTGCTGACGTTTATCGCACTGGACATTGAGTCCTGACACATGACAGTCTCTATTTGCGTCTGATGCTTGCACGTGTTGTTGCAGCCTTTTTGATCATCCCTCATGTAAGGCATCACAGATTAATAATACACATTAAAACCTGTCTAAGAACGCATTGTTATACAGAACAACCCCAGAAACTGGCCAAGGCAGTTGGATTTATAGAAGATGAAGTATAATTTTGTTCTGCAGTGATTCGTCAGTCACGTGGTGTTTCAGGGGTTGAAATGAGCCTTTAGTTGCCATATTGTACAGCCTTTAGAGTGCTCTTGTGAACTCTCATCAGCCGACCATCAATCCCTGGATTAGTTGATGATGTGGGACCAGTAAGGAATGAGGTAGCACATGTTGCAGTGCCATTCTGACGCATAACACTCCAGGGGAAAAGATACACAAGTTCTGCAAATATAATAATTGAAATAAATACTGCATCTGTGACTTTATTCCACTATTCCTAAGAACTACAGTAGAAAGCAACTGAACTTGTTTGACCTCTTCTCCAAGAGGCTTCTTCGCTTTTATAACTACTGTCACCCCCAGAACACATGACTAAGCACCCATTAGTTCCTCAAGGTGTGTATGGTTTGGAAAATGCCAGGTGTGGGATAGTAAACCTGCATTATATATACCTGGTCAGTGGTGTTGAAGACCCCCAGCTTTGTTTAGAGATGTGTGTTCCAGTTAGACCATGACCTGGATGACTGAGAATCTACTTAATCCACACACCTTATTGAAAGTATATTATATTAAAATGTATTTAAATTGATCTATTTACACACCTAACAGAGGTAAATAAAAAAGATGATAAGAAAACTTATAGTGACTAGTTAGTTGCAGCCCCTCCAATACGATCCATTCCTCCCTTTCTCTGTGCATTATTACTGCTGGAATACCTGATTTCTTACAATATTCTACATGAGCTGAAACTTAAAAACATGGTTTGAGAATCCGAAATGAAGTTTTAGAAATAAAGTCTTTGAGACAAGCTTGAAATGGGAACTCTTGGAGCTGTAGAACCGCTAGAACGGCTCCTCTAGTTTAAGAGAAAGTTGACTTACAATATGACACATCTGGCGGACTGATTTTCCTTTTTTTAAACCTCTGACCCTTTGTGTCGTCCTCAGATCTGTGACTTTGGCCTTGCACGGATAGCCGACCCCGAGCACGACCACACAGGCTTCTTGACCGAGTACGTGGCTACACGTTGGTACAGGGCTCCAGAAATCATGCTCAACTCAAAGGTAAGAGTGGGAATAACTGGTGTCAGTTCTTTAAAGACTGGACAGGTTCTCAGTTTGTTGACTGTATGTGTGTTTGTGTGTCAGGGCTACTCTAAGTCCATTGACATCTGGTCAGTGGGCTGTATCCTGGCTGAGATGTTGTCCAACAAGCCTATCTTCCCTGGGAAACACTACTTGGACCAGCTCAACCACATACTGGGTGAGAGACAGTTTCCATTCATTTCAACACCCAAGACATTAAAACAATGAGCAGCTATACTGAGGCTCTTTGCTCTGTACAGGCATTCTTGGCTCTCCATCTCAAGAAGATCTGAACTGCATCATCAACATGAAGGCAAGGAACTACTTGCAGTCTCTGCCCGACAAACCCAGGGTCCCATGGGAAAAGCTTTTCTACAAGGCAGACTCAAAAGGTACTTTGGCATCTACAAGGTTTATGTGCAGACCTGAAGTGTCAGGAGTCAAGAGAGAACAGACATTTCTATTTAACCCTTGTAGTCTGAAAAACACAACATCCTTCTTGGTTTGCCCTGGACGTATTTATTGCAGCTATTTCGATGCCTTTGAAAAAATCAAATTTCACAATACAAAGTTTGTTCCTTGATATAAACAATCTCAAACCATTATCATATTGAATTATGAAATATCTGGATAACCAAGACTACATGCACTATGTATGGCTGACCATTACTCTGACCAAGATATGAGCTTAGAGGAAGGGAAACTACTCTGAAAATAGCTCAGGCTTCGTAGGGTTGATCTGAGGTAACAGGTGGAGGCTGATGGTGCTTTGAAGTGACTTGATCCCAGCCCAGTATTGATCATGACCCCCAGCTATGTGTGGAATCCACTGTGTAGACAAACTAACAGACATACAGATGGCTATGAACATGAACCGACAGATAAAGGACAAAGGATTCTTATGCTTCTTTTGTCACTGTTGAAATGTGATCAGTGTGAATAACAAAGGGCTGACCGATTTAAAATGTAGCATTAAGAGGTTCTTGGTACAGACTATTATTACCTGAAACCAGTGCTGGGGTAATGTTTCACACATGACTTGTTACCGCTTTTGAAAAGGACATTACATTACTTTTCTGTTTCTCTGCAACATCGTCTGACAATTATTCCTACATAAATGCTAGTTAACAATATAACTAGGAGGACATACACAGTATATTTCCTTTTTGCGATTTAATTACCAGAAAGCTAACAGAAAAGTTGGTGTAAACCATTCCAAGCAGCACTTCCAAGAAACATGTTGCAGCAAAAACAAGGCTTAATTATGTGTCTAGCAAAATCGAGCTGGCTGATTCTGTAAGCTGTACCGCCTCAAAATTACGTAACTGTAAGTGATTAGTAACTGTAAGTGATTAGTAAGTGTAATTGGATTACTGAATTTTGGAACATTAATGTGTCTCAATACTTTGTTATCACAGACACAGGTAATGTGATTGTAGTTACTTTGCAGTGCACTACTTTGTAATGCATTACCCCAACACTGCCTGGAACTTAGTAGTAGTAGGAAAACACTTTTGAAACACATTTTTATCAAAAAAAAGTAATCTAATTTAGAGATTATCCAGTGTAGTGGTAATATACAGTATATTGGGCATCATCATTATTGTAGTTACTGTATAAAACTCTCAAAGTGAAGTTCGAATGATTCAGTTTCAGTCCATTTAACAGTTTTGACCGTGAAATAAAATAGCTGTAGTTGTAAGAAAACTTGTATTTTTATTGTTACAAATGAACTAAATAAAGGTTTTATTTTGTTTTTTTTAATAATCTAATGCAGCCCTGGATCTGCTGGGCCGCATGCTGACCTTTAACCCCATCAAGCGCATCAGCGTTGAGGAGGCCCTGGCTCATCCTTACCTGGAGCAGTACTATGATCCCACAGATGAGGTAAACATACAGTTTCTGTGAGCTACACATTTCATTTTTGCAACAGAACCTATTGAACACTCAGCCTACCAGTGTTAGGACTTGTTAAAAGGAATTTTCACAGAACAACAACACATGGAGAAACAAATCTGCATTAGGGCTAAAGGGCTCAGTTGTTCTAACATGCAGCTGCCATTGTCACCACTGTTTTCGACAAGATTTAATTGTAAGCTATTCTGCTTTGTGCTGGGAAGCCTCTTAGCTGGGTTTGGAATGCAATTAGTATAAGTTTGCACCATGGTTCAGCTTCAGAGAGGCTGAAGAATGTGATCACTAATCATTTCTCAGTTTGTATAACTGTCAACAGAATCCCAGCTCTGCACTTTTAGAAATCAAAGTTGTGGATTTGTTAATTGATTTCTCCAGTTTAAAACACACCAAACTGCTGCTGTTTTGTTAAGTTTAGTATTTGCCTTTATGGCATTGCAGCAGTGTGATGGAAGTAAACAGCTTGCCCACTACACTTCTCAATTTTACAAACATAAGGCTGCATTTCTAAAGCTACATTTGAATGAAGCGGCTCTTCAGCGTTTTGCTGACGGTTTGTGAAATGTGTGTGCAGCCTGTAGCAGAGGAGCCCTTCACTTTCTCCATGGAACTGGACGACCTTCCCAAGGAGAGGCTGAAGGAACTGATCTTCGAGGAAACGGCTCGTTTCCAGGAAACCTACCAGGGCTCCTGAGACACAGGTACCTGAGAAGGCTCATCGCAGCCAAACTCTCACAGCAACACAAGGTTGTAGCAGTAGCAGATTAATTGGTATATTTTTTAGAAGAAGGACTTAAAATCAGATGTCAGTGAATGAAACGTCTTCACTACTGTTGGTCTGTCACGCTCATCCTGCAGTACCTTGTAGGCTTTTTTTGATTATCATTCTTGAGTATTTTATGTGATTATGCAGCTGCAGGATGACATAGTTTAAGATTTAAGTCTGAACAGTTTCATCTGAAAGACTGGAGACTAAATGTAGGCTTTTTGCCGTTGCCATTCTAGCAACATCCTGATGACGTATACAATTGCAGTGAAAGATACATGCAAATGAGGCTGAGAAGAGGCTGATAGAAATCAAACAACGGGCCTGTTTATTACAGAGCTCAAACAAATGTTCTTGGAACACTGTTTGGAAAAAGAAACTGCATGAATCAGTCAGATCAGCCAGAGCTCTCTGTTTCTTCGTGTGTGTTTTATTTCTATTAGCCGGACCACTAGATGTCAGTGGAGCACAGTGCCATTCATGCAGACATTTAAACACACCCTTGAACCTCAAGTGTAAATTTCACAGCCAGTGAACTTGTGACAGATACAAGATGACAGTAAATGTACAAACAAGGCTCAGAAACGAGGAACATTTCCCACAGTCTGGGAGCGGTTTTCAAAAACTCGTGATTGCTGTGTTGTAATCAGACAAAAGCCAGATACAGACGATTATATTAGTCGCAAAATCTTGGACTTAATGTCGCTGTAAGGAAGGTACAGTTTGCACAGCATGTTCATCAGAGTGGTACCGTGCACTTAGTAGCACTGATGCTGTACAGGACTGCCACTTACATCAGCATGTAACACAACAAATTTGTTTAATTGAAACTGCATCACTCATAATTATTTTTATAATAAATAGCCATTGTATAGACAAAACAAAGTCACAAAGTGAAAAAGTGCATAAAGAGAACAATATTGTTAAGATAGAGGGACTGCAATACCATCATTAAAACATAGACGTTTATGCATCGTTGCTTTCTAGTGTTTCAGGTTTAATGTTTGCAATCAAATCGGTAGATTTAGTCTGACAACATCAAGATCAGCACCTACAATATACGGTGCTGCTTTCCCTGCAGTTTTTGCACCACATGAACAGCATGAGTCAGTCCGTCAACATGAGATCACCTGCTGATTCATCTCCGGCTTTGTCTTCATCAGATATTCAGTGTAGTTACACAGGAGGGTCTGAATGATCTTTTCTTTCAAAAAATGAATTGATAGTTTGTGAAATGAAATACAATGATGGTAAAAAAAAATTAAAAAATAATAATAATTTATATTTGTAAGTCTCACTGGTGCTTCTCTTTATAAAATATAGTAGCTCTGTCTCCAAAAACAGCAGCAAGATGTGACTACATGGTTGCAATCTGAAGACCTTGGAAATGCTAAACCTGTATTCTTTGTCCAGCTACATGACAGTATTTCCATGTAACTGAATGGACATATTATAGATCTGTGTATTTATTTTTACGCATAACTCTCATACAAAGACTAAAGAAAAACAGAATATCACAGCACAAAATTAAGGGAAACACTTCTTTTGTTCGTATTTATGAACAGTTCAGTCGTAGTCCTTTAGCTCTGACCTTAATTTGTTAATATGGGAAGGTGGTAAGACCATTTTAAATATTATCTAATCTACTTTTTTGGACGTTTGGAAACCTGCAGTTTGGAAAGTAACAATTCTGATTATGAAAAAGGAAGCGTTCATGTCTGCTCATGGTTCATATTTTGACCTTTTGGCAGCACTTTAATGCAGTGAGTCATTCTAATGGACGTATTGGTTTTCCTTCCTTTAATATTACCTGCACTACAAGCTCACATACTGTAAGTGTGTGAGTCAGTCTTATCGTAAAAGATCAGAACGAGTCAGAAATGAAGATGTGAACCAACATTCACCAGAAGTGGGCGTTTCTGATTTATTTTTAAGGGCATGTATTTCTTTTCTTCTTCTCAGTCCTAAGGAGTGACAAAAGCCACACGGAGGCTTGGAACAAGAAGACCCCAAACGACAAGCTAAAACAAAAAGAAAAATGCATCTTCAAGAAACCAACAAAAAGAGAAAACAAGAAATATGAACATTTAACTGCTTATCTTTCCATTTCTACTGCAAGAGAGAGCTAAGTTTAAATTTGATTTCTGTGGTTGGGTGGGGTGGTCGGGTCTGTCGTACTGTTTCAGTTTCGTCCATGTTGGACTCCTCCCTCCTCTCGCCTCATGTTTGGTTTCTCGTGTTTGTTTTTTTTCGTCCCATCTGCAGTAACTCACTGCCCCTCTCCTCATCAAACCTTCATTCATGTCGCTGATCTGTCTGAGCTCTCCTGTCTCTCCTCTCTAAGTAGCCTCCTCTCATATATACACATACTACTGTATTAACCAACACCATAACTTTCTTGTCTTGATCCATGTAAATCTCAACCTGGAAAAAATTGAGGGCTAAAAGCACGGGGATGCTAATCGGGTTTGTGTATATACATACAAAAAAATATAGAAGCGTTTTTTCTTTCTTTTCTTTTTTAATGTGCTTGTCGCGGTTTTCGTTTGTACACCATTGTTTCAGTGTTTTCGGTTCTACTCGGAGTCGTATTTGTATGTTTTGGGGTTTATATTTGCGAGTCATTTTTCAACACTTTCTTTTTGAGACAGACTTTCAGTGTTTTTACTGGCATGTCGGCAGGAGTTCTTTGTTGTCGCTCTTTTCTTTTTTCTAAAAAACAAAAAAAAGTGTATGATGTTCATATGAATGCATGCATTCCTGAAATTTACCAAAGTGGCAGAGAGATGCAAGGAACCTGGCTGGCGAGCGACATAGGAATATTTGTTTTTGAACACATTTCTTGACCTACACCTTGGACCAAGAGCAGAAAAACTGTACTCTCCGTTTATTTTTGGAAGGTCTTTTATATCCAGGAGGTGCTGCGTGAATTGAACTAATTGGATAGAAACAAAAACTATTAAATCATTTCCATAAGTTGCATGCTTGATGAGATCTTGTGGCTTTGATGCCAAAGCCCCATTTTCCAGAATCTTCACGTCAAATCAGTTTGTTTTATCTTCTTCTCACTGCGGTGCTGCCCAGCTGCACCCACATTATCGCCACACCGTGAGAATCACACTTGAAACATCTGAAATTGAACGCCCAACCTCCGTCAGTGTAGGTTTAAAATGTTTATTTGTACAAACACGGAAACTGATGTGGAAATGCTACCAAATCCGAGTGTAACATTACTGTATCACCTACATTCAGCCGTCGTTCTGTATTGAATTACATTCCTGTAACAAATCCAAAGCGGCAGACTGGTGAAGCTCTCTGTGCAAAGTTTGCTTAGAACCATTTTTAGCCAACACTCATTCTGGAAAATGGGGTTTGTTTGACAACCTTTCACATCCCACATTTTTTTTTTTTTTTTCTGTCTGCTGCAGTTTGACTCAGGACAGCTGTTGTGTAGAGTCAAACGCAGCCAGAGGCCTCAGCTGGCCCTGAACAGATTAATGCAAACTCCAACAGGTATTTTTAGATTATGATCAGTTCGGCTTATAGCGCAGAGAAAAACAAATTACATCCTAGTAAGTCGTCCCTGGACCGATTTCATCAGAATGGAATGCACTTCCATCATCAACACTTGATTTTCCTGCTGTGACATGCCAGTGTGTCAGCTGTGAAAAAGATCTGATGATGTGAGTGCTGATTGTTTAGTCGCAAACTTTTACAAGAGCAGCGCCTGGTGTACGGCCCCCTTAGAAAACTGTGTTTAGCCTGATTAATCAACTACAAAATCCCAGGAATGTACAGTTTCACCTGCTCCGTGCACAGTCGAGCGACCGTCATCAGTCCGTGGTTGCACTGTGCACACCTCAGTTCGCCCCCCTCTGCCTGTTTTCTGTCCCTTTTGCCTGTTTGTGTTTTCCCGGCTTCCTGTTAACATACCAAGTGTTTTATTTCTCAGAGATGGCGTGTGCATGTCCTCTTATCTCTGTCTGTTCATTATCCCCCTTCAGCTGTGTCTTTGTTCTGGATGTGACTGTACTAACTGCTGCTTGGTTGGAGCTCCACTCGTGGGTCCAGTTCAGTCTGCACTAATTATTATTTTTTTGCCTGTTGTACTGAAAAAGGCTCACCAAAAAATATATATATATACGGACCAACACATGCACTGGATCGATGCTAATAGACGCAGATCCGGAGCGCTCACTGGCCTCGCAGATTTGTTGTACGTCTCGAGCTCGAGTTGTTCTCTCAGAAGCCATAGCCAGCACTCTGGGATCGATGTGAGGCTTTTTGGTGCATGCGGCGATGTTCATCTTTTTCGTTCAACCTCCCGACTCTCACCACGCTTTACTCAAAAGGGCTGCCTCCTCCTCTTCCTCCTCCTCCTCCTCCTCTTCTTCCCTCCCCCGTCCTCCCACCTTGTCCTGCTTGTCCACAGCAGGACTGGCGAACACCTCCCGCTGACTTTGCTGCCGCTTTCCCTCCTCAGAAAACCTCACCTGTCCCCACCTGGATCATGAACACAAGCAGGAAACTTGCTCCAATCACATGACTCAATCAGCACGTCTGCACTTTGTCTTTCCAGCCACGCGCCCTCCCCCTCCTCCCCCAACCCCTCTCTCATGTGATTAGTTGTTTTGGTTGGTCTTTCACCTCCCCTGCCTCGTATCCTGCTTGTTGAGCTTTAAGTTTATACGTGCTGCGTGTGTTAAGACTCATGGACGGTCTGCAGTAATTTATGTCTGTGTACAAGTGTTTGTGTATCTGCTCATCGGTAACGTAAAGCCAAGACTCTTCTCGTCCTGTCTGTGTGTTTGTTTTGGAAGTGAACACTGTTTCCTCGCAGCTTGGGCCCTCTCCCTGCAGTTACCTGTGCTTTTGCATCTCAGAGATGATTTTTTTTCTTCTCTTAGACCAACACAAAAACAGTCACACGGATATTTTCATACGTACACTCGGTCACCAGTTAACCAGGCCCTGCTAGCTTCTTCTTTTTTTTTTTTTTTTCTAAACCTGCCACCAGACCAAACATCTTACTGGGTAACCATGGGAACGAACCAAGAGGACCACCAATCCTCCTGACACACTCGCACACGCTTCCCCTCTGTCTTTTTGAGGGGCATTTGTGTGTTTGTGAAAAGTTGCACTTAAACACACCATCTACATTCACACAGTATCGACCAGTCTAAAGGCCTGTCCGTCATGAGGCCTGTTTCCAGATATTGTTGTTTTTAAATGGCTGTTCTTATTATTGCTATCGTTGATATATTGGTGAGATGTTGTATTTTCTTTCTTTCTTTGTTTTTTTCTTTTTACATTAAAAAAAGGGAGTTAAAGTTGTATCATTTTTTAAATTAGTATGTTTTTATTTGTATTTTTCTTCCTTATTTCTCTTATGGGCGTGATTATTATTGGCAGTGTTTTCAATCTTTCTGAAACCTCTATTTTTTTTTTTCTTTGATTTCCCCTACAAGATCTTATGAGGAATTATTTTAAAAAAAGATATAAGTAGATTGTCAAAGAGATATGAGTTATTGAGGGTTATAGTCTGTATATTCTATGGGTATTATGAATTAAACGATTAACAAAAACAGAATTATATACATATAATTAAATAAAATTTCCTGATACTGTTAAAACTCTTGGGTTGTGTTTTTTTCTCTTTGTTTCATCTTTTGCATTTTGTTGATGAACTGCAGGGGGTTATTTCACAAAGAAATACTTGACGTGTTGCTTCGATGTAACTAAGTCTAAAGTCATTCATTGCATAAAGCTTTAATTGTGCTTTAATATCTTAAGTACGACCAATTTGCTGCGAAGTCTTGCAACTTTTTACAATTAAGAAACATGGCTGCACCCAATGATAAAAAAAAAGTAACCTGAGCAACGCAAAACAGCCAAAAACTAAAGCAAAGCAACTCGCACACAAATAACTGTAATTATTGCAGCTCTTTTGTGTTGTTGATTGTTAATTACACTGAATAAACATGTCACTGTCATTAATGATGTAGTTTTTTTTTTTTTTAATGCTAGTCAAGTTGTTGGTATTTACGTGACACATTTAAAACAACAAATGTTGACCCAAAGTGCTTTCCGATAAAGAAAATAGATTAACGCTGCAAATTTATATAAGGTGAATAAACCAACATGTAAATAGAAACCAAGCAGCAACCTTGGAGGCTAAAAAAAAAATGCAGCTAATGCAAAGTGCCAAAAGCTGTAGTTCCTCAAATGGCCACTCAAAGACAAGGGATTGTCCTCTCAAAGGTGGACAATCACAACATGTTAAAGTGTCCAACTTTACAGCAGAAATAAACCAGTTTGCGACCTGGTACAAAAAACGGTTTTGGTCTCTTTCCTTAATATCCGCGCTCATGACAACTGTACAGGGACAAGGGGATTTTTATCTGCCTCACCTTAATATTATTAGGGCTTAAAGTTACCCATAAACAAGGGCGTTGCTATTTTGAGTTACAGGTGGGTGTCATCATAGGACACTCCAGTCCATCTTTTTTTGGATTAGCTGGGAGTTAAGGGGAGATGCCGAGACGGTGACGACCAAGACGCATCATTGAGCTTCAGCTTTAGGAAACCTGTTGGTGACGCCATGGGGGTTTTGTGAAACTTTGTATACAGCCTAGGAGAGAAACTCAACAAGGAAGGACAACAGTGGAGAGAAAGAACGCCCCTTTAGCTGGTTGAGACCTCCAGCAGAACCGGGCTCAGGGGGGGCAGCCGTCAGCCTTGACTGGTTGGGGTGAGGGTGAAGGGGAGGGAGAACAGGATTGCCGAGGCTTTAAATTTGAACACGCTCTTTAGCTGGTGTCAATGACTGTTACCATGGGAACACTAGTCAGTAGGTGTCACTGATTGTTACCATGGAAACCTGGCTCTTCCTTCTGACTTAGCCTGAGGGTAAGGTGGCTAACTTTTCAGACAGAAATCGGTCATGTTTTGGGTGTGTGGGCGAAACTGTCTCACTTAAAACAGGAAATTGCAAAGTTTGATGTGACAAACTCGTCCCAAATCTGTTTGTCAAAGCTGATTCAGAAGTGAATTCAAGCCTCAAAGTCTGGGAAATGCATATTTCATCATGAAACTAACTTGCTTTTCCTGCTGCACAACTTGTTCCTCCATAGCATGTCTGAGCTTGGCTGCCCCCGCTCAGATTCTCATTCCCAGAGTCTCACAGCACCGTGGACTGCTTGAGATTAAAGAAAACTTTAGAACGTATCTGAAAACAAGGATAACAGGTCAGTATGGAACATGATCCGGCTTTGATGCTTTTTGCATGTCAAAAAGATAAACCTGGAATTTGAGAAAAAGCTGGAAAGTCAAAGTGCCCTGCAGTGAATAGATTTCTCTGTTCTGGTGAAAACCAGGCTTGTTGTAACATTTCAGAGCGAGCTCGGCCTGTCGCACCATTGTTTGTCACATTCCAGCTTTGTTGTTGAAGCTGAACAATATACTGCTGACTTTGTGCTGTATGTATAGCGGGCATTCGTGCTAGTAGATACGTTGTCGTTTTTCATATTTCTGGCCTTGTGGGTCACACTTTAGTTTACACATCTGCACATGCCACATCCCTTTAGTCAAACACAGGATAAGGAACCTGCTGCGCTACCTGTGATGCCTTTATTCTTTCACAATTGTCAGCTTATGGTCAAATCCTAATGCAACAATCAGGACAATAGATGGCAACGCTTGCTTTATTTCCACATTTGATGCCACCTGAGGCATCATCATAGCGCTTAATATGATCTGTGTCATAATTGCACTAGTCCCAACAATGAATCAGAATAAAAGAAATCCTAGAAAAGTGTTGGCAAACATGCAGCACGCAGGTATGACACATCCACACAAAAAGCCATTCGTTCCCGGGTAAACAGCAGCAGTTTAAAAAGAGCGAAATAGTATTGCCAGTGGCAGGGGAGAGGCCAGAGAGAGAGAAAACACAGTGAGGTGAGCTCTGGGTTACGAGCTGGTCTTTCATTAACTGAATTTTACAGCTCTGAAGGTTTCAGGTGTCTTTGGTAAGAGCGAGTAAAGTGGAGTTTGATTTAGATGTGAAGAAAGGAGGAACGTATTCCTTCCGTCTGACCAGTCTGTCTAGTTTTTTCTTATCTTGTAGCAACAGACAGCCAGTTTTCTTCAGAACAGCTTTTGTTTTTGGACGTCACTGTTCTTTGCAAGTTCAAAGAGGGTTTAACAATCTTCTGCTAAACAAGGACACACTTCCCTGTCTGACTTGATTCTGAGCAACTCCTCCTCTGTGAGATTTTTGCAGAGACTCTGTCAGGGATTTGTGCTCGCAGCGAAGGATGAGCAGTTTTCTGTATTTTGTGCTGCCGGCGTTGGGAGGATACACTCTCGCCTCGGTGTACCTGCTGAAGAACCCACACATTCTCCACAGGAAGAAACGCACCGCTTTCTACTCCACACGCATTTCACACAGAGGAGGTAAGAGGGTCGGTGGTGGCCTGCTGGCAGGAGTGTCCGTCATCAAACTGTGTGACTTACAACCTGATTTAGACACGTGCAGTGCAACAGCTGTACTACTTGTCATAAATACTTACAGAGTAGAAGAAGACAGTTTGTTCTTAAAGTATTTATTTTCTGTATTTAAAGACTCCCTGCAGATAAAAAAATCACAGCAAAAGCTTCCTATATGGTGTCAATTATTGATATTAGTGGTGGATGGATCGATCCAAAGTATTGATAGTATCAGTATCGGATCAATACTTACAGTCGTCCTCAAATGTATTCATACCCTTCCATTAAAGAAAAGGCAAAATTCATAATAGTCACTCAAATAACTAGAAAATGAAAAAAGTAATAATAGATTAAAAAATGCTAAATTATAATTTAGTGAAATAAGACATTGGTTTTGCATGGTGGCTGAAAAGAATAATTTTAAAAAACAGAACAAAAGACTGTCCTGGACAAATTAGAGCACTTTGCTGATGAGCAGTGGACCAGAATATCTGTCAACAGGTGCAGAAGTTTGAGAGTTACAGAAAACACCTGATTACAGTGATTGGCTCAAAGGGTCGTTCAACTAAATATTAGTTCACACGTCCCATCATGCTGGTTTGCTTGTGTTATTTTTGTTTGTTTTTGTTTTAATATTTCTGTTGAACCACAACTCAAAAGCAATGCCATGACTCTTTATTTATTATTACTTTTTGTGAACATCGCTTCTCTCACTCACGTCTCTCCTCTCCTCACTTCTCACATCTCTCCTCTTCCCTCCTTACTTCTCTCCTCACTTCTCTTTTCTCGCCCACATCTCTCCTCTTTCTCACGTCTCTCCTCACGTCTCTCCTCACATCTCTATTCTTTTTCACGTCTCTCCTCACGTCTCTCCTCTCCTCACTTCTCACATCTCTCCTCACTTCTCTTTTCTTGCCCACATCTCTCGTCTTTCTCACTTCTCTCCTCACGTCTCTCCTCTCCTCACGTCTCTCTTCTTTCTCACTTCTTTCCTCTCCTCTCCTCTCATCTTTCTCACTTCTCTCCTCTCCTCTCCTCTCCTCTCCTCTCCTCTCCTCTCCTCTC